TGCATACGAAGAACGAACACTTGGGCAAAGGTGGCAGTGCAGTAAAGGGGTGTGTGTGTGAGTGTGTAAACGTGTGTGACAGAAAGGAAGAAGCGGCCAATGGGAATGGAACTTCTTGCATTTTTCTCTGAAGGTTTTAAGTTTGGGTCTTAGTTCACAAATACAACAGACGACTTTAAATACTGGACCACTTCACACTATTACTGAATTTGAAGCAAATGTGTGGCTAACATAACTGTAAGGAGTGGGGAAAGAAGGTTAAAATAGCTTTCAACAAGTTTTAGTGGAGATGAATCGCAAGGAATCCTGTGTACAGCTTGTCATGTCTTTTGACACTGGATTGTGCAAGGATTCTTACATTTACTAAAACTGTCCCTTCCTACCATGTGTTATGTGTAAGAAGGAACTTGTTACAACATGCAAGAGTGCAACTACTCTGAAGTTTAACTGTACTTTGCAAGCTTGCCTAAATCATTCACATCAAGTACTTGTCTTGTAATTTTTCTTGCTGAGATTTCATTTGTTCTCTTAAAATAACAAACAGTAAGATCATGTATTGTTAGGTGCAGAACACTAAAAACAGTGTCTGTTTCCTTGTCTCTGACAAAATTAGCAATCTGTAGTAGAACTTCTAGTAGTTTTAATAATTCTGTGCTGAGGATACATGTAACTTACTACTGTTGCAAACGTGTACCTGAAATAAGCAATTCATTTGTTGATCAAGTGCTGGACTTACACAAGCATCACCAGACTGCTAGTTCTGTGATGTGTTTCCACTGGGAAAGATACAGTTTTGAGTTGCAGTATGAAAAGGGTCTGTTTACCTTCTCTTTTCAGAAAAACCAGAGTGAGAATGGCTAGAAGAGTCCTTCATACTGAGGTTGACAGTCCATCTAGAGAGCTAAAAGTAGGATATCAAATGCAACATGTTCCTGTGGCTGAAAACAGCCTAACTGCTATATCGCGTTCAAGTGAACCTGCTTAAACTAGGCATAGCTTTTTGTTTATTTTCCTGTTGTTGTGGTTTTGTTTTTTTTAATCTCTACCAGTCTAATGGTGCCAGTCGGAAAGAATGCTATTGCTGGTAGCTTGTTCAGATGGAGTTAGAGTGCTTCCTTATCTGCCTTATGTAAGCTGCTGAGAGCAACTTCAGTAGTTGGCCAAATCCACCCATGGCAGTGAATTGCTCCTACTTGTCTCTTCTGCTGTTAGTTCCTTTCAGGCATGTCTGCTCTTCATCCTAGGCTGATTGACAGATCAGGTATCCACAGCTGGTGCTGCTAGTTGCAGTGCTTTTCACACGTGGCTGTTCAAAAATCAGTGTCTGCTACTCTAGAAATCACTGCCTAAGTTAAGTAGGCTGACTTGGCAAAATGAAAGATTACCATTGCATTGGGGAGTGCCCTGGCTGTGGAAACTTCTGGTGTGGCTTCGTTGCCCATATTCTGTGACCCAGTGATAACCCTGCTGCTGTAATAGCCTTTGGGGGCTGTGGGAAGCCCCACTGCTGCTGTGTTACGCTGAGAGATCTCAGCATGGCTAAACTGGGGAAGCACAAAGGTTCCCTAGGGCCATTTTTTTTGCACACTCCTTGTAGATGATACTGTGCTAATCTTGTCAGTAGTCAAGGACATAGTTCTGTTATTTTGTAGCCATGTTTTTGACAGCTATAGTTCTACAGAGCAACTCTAGAAGAATGACATTTTTGTGTTTTGTATCTAGAAGTGAATTTCAGCCTCTCCCCTTGCCCTCAGCTCCCGCGAATATAATAACCATTAACAAACAAGTTTTTCTTCATAGTGAAGTAATCCAAAACAAGCAGCGCACACTAACTCCTATCATGCTCCAGGACATGCAAATATATTCTAGGAACAGGTACAATTACATTTTGTTACTGTCCACTATCGAGAGAAAAAGGTGAGAGAATTGACCCAAACCAGTTGGGAGATAACACTGCTGCAGACCAGGCCAAGCAGCTGCTGACACAGCCAGAGCTCCTTTAAGACTTCTTAGATTTCACCGGTGGAGTAGGAGGTGGGAGAAGAAACATTCTTGTGTTCTCAACTTTCTCCAGATAAGGCCTTAGTTTGATTAGTAGTCACTAATATCAACTATGCAGATAAGTATTCATTACATATTTAAGTGTTACGTGCGTTCCTTCCCCCAGCTACCCTGTTAACATTCGTTCAAGTTTTACCCAAAGAAAATGGAATATTTTTTGAATGTCTTTAGAACTCCTTTTGTTAAAGTGAAGAAAGAAATTTGTATATTAAAAAAGAAACCCTCTTGCTGGTGCAACACCTACTGTCAAGTCTCATGAAGTTGCTTCATGAGGGAATCTAAAATCACCTCTTGTGACAGGTTTCAGTCTGAGAGCTTCTGGAGTAGTCAGCTCTCAAAGTTGGTTTTAAGAAGCCGTAGTGATGTTGTTTATTAATGTGCAAATTGGATACGGGGAGAAGATAATGAGATCCTGTGTTTCCTTCCACTATCAGAAGTGAATTAAATCAGTTTCTCAGTTAAATGAAGTTGTTTCTAAACAAGGGCAAGTATGAGCTACACAGTAGCTGGATCTTCAAATAAAAGCAAAATTGTGATTCCCCCGCTATTCCTGACTGATCTTTTAGTCTTGTTTGTAACTACAAATAACAGTTTAGCTCAGAGGTGAGAACTGTAGTGTGTGTATTATGACCGGTAATTCCATCATGTAGCAATTAGTACCATGTTCTTGCATAGTTCTCAAGATCTCTGTTGAAAATAGATGGAGAAATACTATTTTTGGACTACTATTTAAAAAAAAATACGAAATTCATTACTGCTATTTTCTCCAAAAAGTCTACTGAGCAGTTATATTTTAGCTGTTAAATTAGTACCCTTGTTCTGTGATTTGTCTTTTGTAGTCTTCTTACTGAGGGTTAAAAGCATTTCATGAGTAATCCCTAAAAATGTTGGTATTTTCTAGCTTAAAGTCAGGTTGCTTATAATAAAAGGGCATCTGTGGTTATAACTTCTGGTGATATAAGAGCACGATGTTCAGACTATTTCATTGAAGATACAGGTGTGGATGCAAGTCCCTGCAGTTCTGCCTGGTGATGAGGCTGAATCAGGAGCAGAGCTTTCAAATAAATCCCTGCCTACCCAGCTAGTGGCAGCAGGGTCCTCCCACTGACAGAAGTTTAGCCTCTACTCTCTGTTGTCACATGTAGGATGTGTACTTTTAGCAAGTTTAAATATAATCAGCTTAACCCCACCTGACTTGCTGATCCCCAGGTGAATGAAGGAAGCTATGTGAAGTCAACAGCAGAGAAAATGGTGGGCAAAGCATTTTCCTGCCTTTCTTGGTGTAGCTTGAAACAGTTGGTCACTTGTCTTAAAAACAAAACTGGCATTCTTCGTAGGCCTCTGCCCTAAGCAAAGTGGTGCAAGATGGTAGACCTCTTTGAATTAGTGATTCCTGTGATGTTCTACTCAGTTTAGTGTGAATTTGCTTCGGATCACCTTCCTGCTTTTTAATACTTGCCTGTTTCAGATCGTCAGGCTTAGTATCAGAGAATCCTCACAGCCAGGTGCTTACCTGGCTTGCTCTCCAGAGAAACTCCCCTGTGAAATGCTTCCCTCTTGTGACCGCAAGCCTGAACAACCAAACGCAGCTACGGCTGGGTGATTAGCACCACTTTCTTTTGGATTTTTAGAGAGGTATGTTCCACTAACGTCAAGGAATACTGTATTTTAAATGTGTGATTTCCTTCCTCTCTCCTTATAAAACTGGACCTGAACACAAGTTTTGAGTTGTTGCTTTTTTTTTCTTTTTTTTTCTTTTTTTTGGTAATAATCTCAGGACTTGAAAGATTGTAGCATTTAGTGTGTCTTAAAAATGATGTACTGTACCAGCCATGGATTTTGTAAATACACCTGTCTCCCTTTTTTGTATTTTAATTTTTTAAAAATGTGTAAGGCTCTTTGTCAGAGGAACTGGTGCCTGCTTTATTTCCATCCTGAACTGAAGAGGGAGAAGGAAGAAGCTGCTGCCACAAAAGCCTGCATTGTTTTCTAACGTGTACAGTTCTGGTCAGTTCAGTGACTGTTAGTTTTTTTGATTGGGAAGCTGGTTTGTTCTCTTGCACATTCCCAGCTGTGACGGGCAAAGCCCTATCAGGGAGACTAATTAAATCTCTTGTGACTACTCTGTGTTTTCACTCCTTCCAGATGCTCAGGTTTCCATCCCTGAGACAGGTGGCATTTTCAGAAGTCAGGGTTATTGGTTATTACTGGGTTATTGGGCTTGGGCTTCTGCAAGAAGAGCTGCAGAGCATTGCTTCTCTTAGTGCTTTAGTCCAAACAGGTAGCAGTGTTTGTGTCCTACAAGAAGCCTTGCAGGTGCCACCTGCTTCACCCATTCCTGGAAGGATTTTCCCTCTTTTTTTTTTTTTTTTTTTTTTCCTTCTCCATTCTGCTTTCCTGAAAGCAGAAGACTTTTTGGCAGCAGTTTTGCTCTGGGCTCCATGTTTAGGCAGCAGGCCCTGTTCTGCAGTAGGAGCCTTACGCAGTTGGGTGTAGCTGTGCCCTGTCCTTGATGGCGACAGGCTTTTTCATGAGTGTTTTCTTTTTTATCTGTTACGTGTCTGTGCTGTATTAAATAAAGAGGAATGTACATATGAGCCCTGTCTCTGTGATTTCTCACAAAATAAAAGATGAAAAGTGCACCACGTAAAAGGCCGTTGGTCTGGGCTTATTATGGGATTTCCCTTTGTTGTGAATTCGAGCGGGGAGCAGCTGTTGAGCCACAGAGGGAAAAGACGTCCGGGAGGCCGGCAGCACCTCAGAACGGCTCCCACCTGCCCGGCCGCGTTCCAGCGCCGCTGGCGAATGAAGGCCGAACGGCTCCCAGAAGGCTCCGTGGCAGGGAGGTGGGACGAATTGGTGCTGGCCAATCAGCGCCCGTCAGACAACATCTATAAAAGGAAGAGGGGAGGAGAGAGGAAACAAGTAGACAGCAGAAAAAGTGCGTTCTCGTAGCAGCCCCAGTGGCCTAATGGATAAGGCATTGGCCTCCTAAGCCAGGGATTGTGGGTTCGAGTCCCATCTGGGGTGGTCCTTTTTTTTTCTCCTTTCCCTCTGGCTGTAGCATTGCTCTGTTTTCTGATGCCTGGTCGCAGCGGGGCGCCTCGACGCTGAACAGGTGGTGGGTGGGAGCTATTCTCATAACAACCTGAATGCGGCTTTCGCAACCCTGCTGTAATGTAAGCCCCTGGACAAGGTGGGTGCCCACCATCTGCGGCTGAGCCGCTTTCATTAGCAGCGCTCACACCACGCGCTTCGACATCCAACCTGGTGACGCAGCGGGTTGGCGCGGCTGCTACGGTTCCGGAGCCCCTCAACCCCGTGAGCGCGCGTCGCTCCGCCCAACGGCCGACGGGGGCTCTCGACCTTCGGCATCTGACCTCTACTGATGGGCGGAAAACTGCGCGAGCCGCCCTCTCTCTGATTGGTCGATGCTGCGCGTCGCCGGCGCCTGATTGGCGAAGGGAGAGGAGCGGGAAGATGGCGGCGCTGGGCTCTCCGCTGCGGACGTTGCGCGGGCTGCTCCGCGAGTTACGGCATGTCAGCGGGCGCGCCTATCGCGACACGGCCGCCTACCGACACGTCCTCGCCGCCTTCCGCGCGCACCGGGTACGGCGTAGGCGGAGAGAAGGCCTCCGGGCCCTTCCCCTGCCGCCCTTTTCCCGCTGCCATCTCCGGTCCTCTGCTGCTTCTCCCCGCAGGTGACCAGTGAGAAGCTGTGCCGGGCCCAGCAGGAGCTGCACTTCCAGGCCGCCACCTACCTGTGCTTGCTGCGCAGCGTGCGGCAGCACCAGGCTCTGCATCGCGAGTACCACGGCCGCGGGGAGCGATCCCCCGAGGAGGTGGCGGGGCTGGTGGGCTTCAGGCTGCCCCGGCAGCCGGGGGGGAAGGGCTGAGGCCGCCCCGTGCCGCCCGCTGCTCGGCGCCGAATAAACGCCCTCGGCTCTGAAGCTGTCTTGTAGCTTGTGTGTTCTGTCTGCTTCGGGTTGGGGGGATCAGAGCCGCAGCCCGGACTCGCCACCAACTGTTTAAGGAGGTATAAACTTGTTTGTTTTATTCCCCTGAACTTGTAGGTAAGAGGACTTCAGAGTTTCCCAATACATGAGGAATTCTGTACTTCTCTGAGAGGAAAGACCCTATCTTTGCAGTGTTGGAGGGTGAGCACTGCTGCAGCAAAAACATTCAGTTTGAAGACTTTGACCCACAGCTGTGGTTGTAAGTTAGAATGCAGCTGAATGAATTGCTTGTCAGTGTCCTGGACTTGGGTGACTGAGACTGCAGGTCTTCTGTGTTTCATTAAATGGAGACCTGATAGCTGCTGGTTGTACCAAATATAATATGTACTAAAGTACTGCTTCCTATTTATTTCCATGGAAACTACAGCAGATACAAAGAGCACAATAACACTACTTGATAGAGCAAATTCTCAGATACAAAACACCGTTTTTCGACATAAGCATATGCGATAGAGTTCTGCCAGTGATAAACAAGAGCCTGTGTGCTATGCTCACAAAAATCTGCATTTGGCCATTTGGAACGTGGCTGGTCTTCCACATCACTGTTGCCTCTGCTGAAACACAGAACTCACCTCATCACGGTGCTCACATCCCCTGTTTGGTCTCCATAAACATTCAGTAAAGATGAGTGAATGTCACTGTGTGCCATTTTTTCCACATGGAGGAATTCAGTGACACACCTTTGCTTCCACGTTAGATGCCATTTTTTCTGATTGCCCTTCTGTCTCAAAGCAACAAAATGTAATGGAATGCTGGTGGGAAGGTACAACTTCTACAGCCATACCACCAACATCTGCTTTGACATCATGGGCCAACATAATAAAATAGGAGGCATTACTTTCAAGCAGCCCTTGTATAAATCATGTTATGATGAGCTATAGTCACAATAACACCACTGTTCTCTCTTCTCACAATCTGGAACAGTGAATCATTTTTTTTATCAGAGGAGAAATAGCTCCAATTGTTGCTGCCCACTTCTCTGAAGAGGCTCAAATTCTGTGCAGTATGTGTAAGAAATCTGTAATCAGGGTAACTGACAGTGGATAAGAACGTGAGGTTTGCTTGTAATTGAGGAGCTTAAAATGACACTAACAAAAGAGTGCTTCTTTTGGCTTTACTACCAGGGAAAACAAAGCATGCTATCAGAAAGCACTGCACATAAAATAGCTTTGTCTAATAAAATCAGAATAATTTGAGTTGGAAGGAACCTTTAAAGGCCACCCAGTCCAAATCCCCTGCAATGAACAGGGACAACTACAAGTTGCTCAGACCATCCCCATCCTGAAGCTTGAGTGTCTCCAGCGATGGGGCAACCACCACCACCGCTCTGGGCAACCTGCCCCAATGCCACTACCCTGCTAAAATGTCTGTCCCCTTCTTACAGCCCCCTGTTAGATTCTGAAAGGCCACTCTCAGGTCTCTCCAGAGCCTTCTATTCTCCAGTCTGAACAGCCCCAGCTCTCTCAACATGTCCTCACAGGGAGGCATTCCATCCCTTGGATCACTTACACGGCCCTCCTCTGGATGTGTTCCCACAGATCCACTTCTTTGTAATGAGGACTTCCTGTCTGGCTGCAGCACTCTAGGTGGGATCTCACAGTGCAGAGCAGAGGGGCAGGATCACCTCTCTTTCCCTGCTGACCATACTCCATTTGATGCAGCTTTCAGTTGGCTTTCTGGGCCGTGAGGGCACGCTGCTGACTCACGTCCCTTACTTCCAAGTCCTTTTCGCACAGGCTGTGCTCCATCCTTATATGCTCCAGCTTGTACTGGTAGCAGGGGTTGGCACAACCCATGTGCAGACCTCACACTTAGTTTTATTGAACCTAATGAGGTTCTCCTGGGCTCACTGCTCGAGCATATCTTTGGTAGAATCCTCAGGTGTGTCAACCACACTACACAGCTCAGTGTCATCTGCAAACTACTGAGGATACACTCGATCCAACTACCTAAATCCACATGCTATCCTTTTTCCTTAACACCAGCCCAGCCCCGGGCACAGGAGACGGGCACAGCAGATGGCCGGGGAGATCTGGGTGATGTGGGTCAGGTAAGATGCAAGTGGTAAGCCGTAAGGTTTTGTAGGCTATGAATTGCATTGGCAGTTCTGCAGTCTCACCAGCTGAACAAGGGGAAAGCTTTTGATTTACTTTCTGAGTGGATTGAGGATTCGCCCCATCCAACACCTACTGTATACCATAATGACGACCAAAACCAAATCTGACAAAGGAAACAATAAATCCAGGGCACGTTCAGACTGCGTGAGGATCTCCGGGCCAGGAATTTTTCCACAAACACGTTCTAAGAACTACTTTTGTGGGGATTCATTGCATCTTCCCCACAGTTCATGTTGAATCCCGACTGGGGCGGGGCGGCTTTTTGTGTCGCCTTTTCTTTCGGTTGCACCGAGCAAAGTCTGACAGTGTAACGCGTCCCCTGTCTGCGGGCGGCAGATTCACAGCTGGGCCAGTCCCTGTACCAGTCGGCGGCTGCGGCCGGGCGCTAGAGGGCAACACGGCAGCCGCAGGCACAACAAAGCGCCCGCCGCCGCCAGGCCCGACGCCGCGCACCCGCTGACGGGGCGGGCTCCCCTCGGGGCCGCCCGCCTAGCCCGTGTCTCACGGCGCCTGCGCGGAGCCTCCCGCCCAATCACCGCGCGAGAAGCCGCCCTGCCCAATCGGCGGCCTCGCCGCGCCGCGCGTCACCGCGCTCGGCGGCCAATCAGAGAGTGCCAAAGGCTCCGTCCGCGATGACGTCGCGGAGCGGGGGAAGGGGGGGGCGCACGACGCGTGCGCGCGGGTTTCCGTTAGCGCTGGCGCGCGCGCGTGGCAGGCGTGAGAGGAAGCGGGCGGCCAGGCGGGGGGAGGGGAGGCGGCAGCGGCGGGTCCGGCGCGGGGCGGGCTTCGCGCTCCGTCCTCCGTCCGCGGCACGGCCATAGGCAGCGCCCGCTTCGTCCCCGGCGGCGGTGTCGCTGCGCGAGTCCGCGAGTGACGCGAGGGGGAGGGCCGAGAGCCTCGGGCCTTGTAGGCCGCAGGGAGTCGGCGTGACTCGGCCGGGCCGGGCCGCCCCCGCGCGCTCAAGATGTCGGCGCAGGCCCAGATGCGCGCCATGCTGGACCAGCTCATGGGCACGTCCCGGGACGGTAAGCGGCTCCGCAGGGACCGGGGGGGGGAGGGGGGAAGGGAACGGGGGGAGCGGGGCGGGGCGGGGCCGCCGGAGCCCTCGAAGTCGCGGCGGCTGCGGGCGGTGATTGGCGGCGCCGCGGGGCGGAGCTGCGTTCGGCCGCCGCCGCCGCTCGGCGGCGGCGCTTCCCGCGGGCCCCGCCCAGAGCGGGGCTTTCCTCCGGGTCGGGCGGGGGGACGAGCGAGAAAATGGCCCCGGGGCCAGGGCCGCCACTGCAGCATCGGCCTGTCGCGTTATTTTTTGACTGAAGTGTGACCCAGATCCTCATTATAGCCAGCAGGTGAGACTGCTGTTGCCTCCTGAAAGGGGACTTAGTTACTCAAGTGGACGAATCCCTCTTGCTCTTAGTTATGTTTTGTTTTTCTTTTTTTCCCCCCGCAAAAATCTTTCCTGATAGCCTGATATTTAGAGGCAGCAATTCCGAGAGGTGCTTTAGGCGTAGCCAGACTTCTGGTCGGTGGAAGATTCTATGGCAGTGGTCTGTAATCCAGATGGCCTGGGGACTGCTTGAGAACAGGGGGTCCCAATAAGCTGTGTAGTGCTTCATTTATAAATGAGAGAATGCTGCACCTGAGGGCTGGCAGTAATTAGAGATTACATGAGTATTCTGCATGCTGTAGTTCTTTCTGCAGGCACGCTGCATGTTTGTTGAAGCTTTGTGTGGAGTTAATGATTATTATCTGTTTCCTCATGCATTCGCTGGGCAGGTCGCATGTGCTGGTGCTCAGTTGTTGGGGCTGGGACAGCACCACCTTCCTGACAGTTCTTTTAATCTAGAGTTTTAATTATAATAAAACTCCTAACAAAAAGCATTCATGATGCATTGCATAAGGGTGTCCCTGTGAAGACAGGAGTTGTACTCAGGGCCCCTTACGGGTTTCTTCCAATTCAGGGAGTTTCATTCTTTGGTAAACACATAGGAAAACTACCGTTATGCAGAAGTTGCCTTCTAGAGCAGTGCTGGCTGCTGGGTTGTCAGCATGCAGGACCTAATGAAGCACACTGTTCTTGTCCCTGAAGATTTTGAGTGCTTCCTGTTGCAGCTGTGTGTGGCTGCACACTCAGCATGGCAGGATAGCACAGTGCTTGGGCAGTTCAGCTCATTCTGGTCAGCACCCCAGTGGCTGTGTCTGAGAGCTTTCGAGGGCTGGATGGAAGATATAAATGCAGGAGTTGCTGTTGCGGTTTTTGAATGTGTTTTCCATTGGGCCATAGGAGAAGAATGTGATTTACCTCAGGGAACTGCTAAAAAGTGAAAATGACAGTTAGGTATACGACCTAAGGTGGGAAAAACAACGTCATACTAATTTCCTTTGCTTTTGTGAGAAAGCAGTTATTTTGCTGATTACAGGACTCCCCCTTCCCTCCCACCTTCTAAATCCAGAACAGCGGCTGCTGAACTGAAACTGACTGGTGGGACAGGAAGCTTCTAAATAGCACAGTCAGAATGAGGAAAGATAAGGAGAAAAGGCTGTTTGTAATACTGGCTGCCATTATTAAGTGAAGTGGGGAATTGAGGATCACCAATACCACTCTGGTTCTTAAAAAGTAGAAAGTGTAGTGGAACGTTGTTTAATCTAAAATGTTTCCAGGGCTGATCATCATCCGTTTGAGTGAAGTTGGTACTTAATAAATTCAAGGCCATGCTCAAGGTCATTGAAATACTGCTAGCCCTGAGAGTTAAAGGGGTTTTAATTTTTTTTCCCCCATTTCGTCCATTACCTTTGATGAATCTTCTGTTTCTAGCAATGTGCAAATCACAGCTTTCAGTGAAATGGGGCTGTCCATCTCCTGGATAAGTCTGGATAGGTCACAGTTCATGATTGCCCTTGCATCTGTCCCCATCGCCTTTCATTTTCCTCTGCCTGGCCATAGAATTGACTTGAAAACGCTTCTAAAAATCGTGTATGGGTGGGATTTGTGTCTGATGTTGTTCAGAATGACCAGAATGTGTTTGAACGTCCCCATTAATAGAATGTTGTACTCACTGCAGCCTGGTGGTGTTTTTTTGGTGAGGGGAGGTACCTAGAATGTGCAGGCTTAACATTTTCACCCGTGGGAAATTGGAAATCTGGTGTCTTCTGTGAGAATAGTGCTAACTCAGAGGTGAACTCAGAGCAAATGATGTTGCTTGAATATGTGGCCTATGTTGCTTTTTCAGAGCTTATAATATTCTCTGTAGAGTATACGAATGTGCTCCAAAGTGAAGTATTCAAGTAGTGTAGTTATTAAATGCTGTTAAGTCTTGTTGAGCTCCGAGAACACCTAAAATCACTGTTCTGTGTTGGTCAAAGAGAATATCACATAAATTACAAGGACCAAGCTCAGCGAGGAGCTTCTCTCTTTCAAACAGAATTGATTGCCCAGCTTGTGGCTTCCCAGAGCCGTGCCGTGCTGGGCCTGCCCCTGTGCTGTATCCTTTCCCCAGGGGCCCCTTGCGTGTGGGCAGGGAGAGCTGAGAGCTGTGTTCTTTGGTGGTCTGCTCCTTCCCTGAGTTCTGGCAGCGGGAGAGATGCGCTTGGGGTCAAACTGCTCTCTCCACGTGTGCTGCCTGGTACCTGCTGGGAGAGGCTTAAGTATAAACTGCTGAATAGATACTGTGGGTTCCCCAAATATTGGGAAATAACGAGTGCAGAAGATAAGGTCCTGACCCTACCTACATACATCCACGTGTTTTATCCGTGTTGTTTTTCAGTGCTAGCAGTTAAGCAAAATGACTGTCACACCTGACAGTTGTTAAGAGATGATTTAGAGGTGAATTTAGTGCTGATGACCAGGGCTGTGTGAATTTGTCACTCAGATATGTGGAGTAAGCTGAGAGACTGAAAAGTATGAATTTTTAAATTACTTTAAATAACTTTTCAGCTCTGAGATTCATGAAATAGTTCTAATGGCATGGTTAGGTAATGCCTTTTTTGTCATCTCTATGCTCTAGAAAATAGGAATGACCCTTGCACATAGGTTTGCAGCTGTTACAAGTTGTGACTTTGCTTCTCAAGCAAAATCTTCACATCATGCCATCAGTACCCCAGGAGTACTTACTATTATTTTCATAGTGGCACAGTAGGGTCACTGCTTGGGAGAGCAGTGCAGGCCCAGGTGAGACCAGGACACACCTTGAAACATCCAATACTTGTATATAATTAGCACTACACCAAAGCCGTGTTCTAGTCTAAGGACATGGCAAACTAGCAAAGTTGATGAGATTCTGTATAGATAGATAAATGCAGATAGATAAATGGTGTGCTTTAGAAGTTTACCTGTAGTCATGAAGATGTTCTCCCAAGCTTCCTAACAAATACTGCATTGTGTGACTAGCAGGAACTTGTTCATCTTTGGAGCCTTTAAATGTTCGGAACACAAATATAAGTGTCAGTCAGCCCCTCTGTGCTTCACCTGATGTTTGTTTGAGCTGTACATGGAGACCTTAACCAGAATCTGTAGCCGTGACTAGCAAAGCATTTCCTTGTTCTCTGTGTTCTTCTTGCACTGAAAGTTTTAAAATGCAGCAGAGATCTTTGCACACAAAGAACTTCAAATAATGTGAATTTCTCGTGTGTAAATTTTGCGTGAAACTTTTATCAAGAGACCTTTAGAGCAAGTCCTCAGGAAATGTAAATTGGCTGCTAACACAGAGGCTCCGGTGTGACTGTGCAAATCTGACCTCTTCGTGAGGAGAGGGAAGCAATGGCTTTTGTGTCACTGCCATGTGAGTGCAAATACCTTCCCAGCAAAGGAAAAGCAGCAAAAAGCATCTTGAATGTGTGAATTTCAGCAGAACCTACCCCAAGTGTGCAACTGGTAGCAACTCAGGAATCTGACAGTATAGCCACGCATACTCTGTGAAAAGATCAGTCCAGTCAGATGGCTTGAGGAAAATGGTTGTGCTTAGTGAGTTGTGCCTATTTGCTGGCTTCGTTAGTAAGTTAGTAGCCCAGCCCTTAGAGAGCTGTGTCAGGTATTAGCAACGCTCAGTCAGAATTAGCTTCCCATGTGAGACAGCAGCAGTACCTCCTGCAACTGTATGAGGTTCTGCTAAGGAAAGATGCTGAGTGTTTGTTGTAAGATGTTTGCTTTGCTGATAAAATTTGATATATAGTTTTTAACATGATATTACACGATCAGTAGATTCACATTTGTTCTGCTGGACTGTGATGAAAATCTCCGAGGGCTGCTCCAAAAGCAATGCCTGCTATTTTGTTATGTTGGCTGGCAATATTAGAGGTGGATGTTGGTGGTAGGGCAGCGGGGGGCAGGCTGACAAAATGGCGTCTGGTGTGGAAGTGCGTGTGAAGGAGGGGTCATTGCATTCCCCATGTGGAAAAAATGGCACCCATTGATATTTGCTGAAGGTTTGTGGAGACCAAACAGTGGATGTGAGAGCAGTGAGGTGGAGCACGGTGCATTCCAGCAGCAGGGACAGCAGCAGATTTAACAAGTGCAGCATGTTTCTCGCCGGTGAAAACGCGTGGCTAATAACGGTGGCTGTGTTGAAAACTAGTGTTTTGTAACTGAGAATTTGCTCTATCTAAGAGTGTTACTGTGCTCTGTGTTGTAGTTTCCATGCAAGTAAATGGGAAGCATTACTTTTGGAGCAACCTATGCAATACGGGATAGAAATATGATTTGGGCAAGGCACACTGTGTGAAACCAGAGCTGCTGCTTGATGAAAAAATAGTGATTTTTTTTTTCTGTTACCTCAATACACATTTTACCAATGGTGGTTTTCTTCAGTGGAAAAAAAAAAAATGTCATTGGAAACACTGGAGTGGCTTACAGTAATAGATATTGTCTCCTCTGATTTCTTTAATGAGCACGAGTGCTAAAGATCAAGGGTTAAATAAGTTGCTATTCTGAGCTAATGTAATGATTTACCTATTAAAGTAGAACTTAGGAGGTCTGAAATATTAGTGGTAGTGTCCTCTTTAGCAGTGTTTAAGGCTGCTTCTAAAAATCAGATGCCTGCAACTACTTGATCCTTGGATCTGTTTTCTTTTTGCAGAATATGTAAAGCCTTTAAGTACTCCTAACAGTTCTTTGGCGTTGGCCGTATGAAGAGTGCCCCAGCTTAAGTATAGTTTGCTGCAGAGAAGTGTGGTATGGGCTGTGTGACCTCTGAAGCCCTGGGTTTGCATTCCTGTGGGTGCCTCTGAGAAAGCACCTCTGAGTCTGCAGTGTGCTGAGTGTTGTGCGTAGCATGGATCTGTGGGTCTCATTTGCCCCCTCCAGCAGCCCATGTAGCCCCCAGAGGTCGTGACCCTCTGCAGATGACTGATGTGTAGGCTGGCAGCAGGCTGCATCTTCTGCTTTGCCAGCAGTTCTGTGCCATTTTGGGGGTACTGGAGCTTACAAAGTGATGAGAAAATAAAATATATTTTCTTTGGAGGCAGTTGGGGTTTGGAAGGAGTTCTAAGAGGGATATACAATTCAGTTATCGGTAAGAGGTTGGACAAAGCACCTTTTCTTTCTTTCTAAATCAGAAACAGCACAGATTAGAAAGAATGGGGAATGTAGATAAGAAGGTGCATGTACTGGAGCGTTCTGTGTGCGGGAGCCTCTCTGGAGGTCTGAAATGCCAGACCAAAAGCACTGTGCAGAAATATGAATGCCAGTTGCAGTGTAAACGTGGAATACATTTACAAGGCTGCCATTTGATCTGTTCCTAGTACCTCTTTATTTTCTCTGTTGTCTTGTCCCAGTTTGGTGATTATGGTTATACGTTAGCCCCTTAGAGGGAAAGAGCCCATGTTGCAGAGTCAGTCACTAATTGCATACAAACACAACGACCTCTGGACATTGAGGTAATGCCTGTGAAAATCTTTCCAACTTTACCTAGGAACCGTCAGTCTCTCAGCAATTTCCTAGTCTTGGGAACTCCTTAACTGCTGCTAGGTTAGTGCCTAATAGCCATCAGCTGCCTTTTTTTTCAACAGTTCTCTTGATTTTGTTCATTTGTCTTTATGTAGAAGAATCTTTACAGTCAACGTGTATTTCTAGATGCTGTGTTAAAATTGCTGGCAGAGTCTATTATTCTATACAAACTGAACAATCTGGCCCCTTGTTTTATTTATAAAGGTTCAATGTATCTTTGCCTGTCTACATCAATCTGCAAGGGAGTGTCAGAAAGGCCCCGCATTCGCCGAGCCGTGAGTTATCGCTAACTTTTCAGATGTGTTAATGAATGTGGAACAAACGCAGTTGTGTTTTAAAACAAACAAACAACAACGAACTATGGATCCACCTCCTAAAAAGCAAACCAAAACACGGAATTCTTTACTGCAGTAGCAGGCATGATTACAAAGGGATTGCTCTAAATTTTTAGCGGTGTGAGTAACAGTGGTAAGTTTAACCTCCAGAAAACCTATTGCTGAACTGCTTTGAAGCTGCCTTCAGCCTGTGGATTACTGGGTTTAGCTGTTGTATCCCTGCAGTCAAATTAAGCACGTGGTGTTCTGGGGAACTTTTGTTTGCTTAATAATCTGAAACTGGGCCCAGCTGAAAATGCTATGTTAGCATCCTATGCATGGAGTATAAATGTGATTGTATCATGAGAAAGGCTGAATGTGTGTTTTTTTTTCTTAATTCCCCTCTGTCATATTTACTTAAGTAATGGATTTGACTTTTCGAATTGTTTAATAAATTCAAAATTCTCAGCATTTCCAATCATCGAGTCATAAAAATGTAGTGACTGCAAAATGCATCCATGTTCTTTATAGTATTTGAAGAAATGGATAAGATTGCTATATGAACTCATTGCACGTCTCTTTTCACTCAGCAACCCTCCTTGCTTCAGTAATTCACCAGTAGGTTTTCAATGATTAAACATTTGAACAAGTTTTTATTTTTTTATGAATAAATAGATGAATACTGAGAGAGATTAAGGTGTTTCATCATGCCTGTATCTTAACAGCAAGAGAGCTGTAGCAGCAACCTCTCTTCTGAATCTTAGTGACAATGACGTTATGACCTGAAGGAAAGCATATTTCCCAACCCCCCTTTCTTCCCCCCCAAATACCAGCTGGTGACTTTGATTTGGAGACTTCAGGTCTTGCTGCCAGGTGGGGTTCTTTAAACTTGCAATTGGATGTCAGAGTGTGCCAGACAGGTTGATGCCTCTGCTGATGCTGGAACTGCAACCTGCCATGATGAAGATGCAATTAAGATGTTCCCATCCCAACAAACAGCATGTAGGAAAAACGATGTATTATGGCTTATCATGCAGTTATATGCAAACATCTGTAAAATCATTTTGCATATAGGCTGTCCATATGTTTGACTGACTTTTTTTTTTTCAAGGTTTTTAAGCATTTAAATTCATTCCTCTGCCAACTCTTTTTGCTACTCCTATCAGAAGTAAGAGGGTGCTTTGCTTCAAAAAGCGAAACAATAAAATGAGTTTCAGGTGGGATTCAGTGAAGACTCACTATGTATCACTTTGTTTATGAAGCTGCTTTTATTTGCTAATTGTTGCAAAGAAATACATTGCTATTTTGTACAAAAGCTGAATAGAGCTTGTTTAACAAATGCTGTTGTAGCAAAGTATTTTAAAGCTAATACTGCCCTTCTGGTTTCAAGCACTTTCCACACTACATTTTTGTAGGGGAAGTATGAGAGTATTCTTGAATAGCACTGTAGAGCATTAAAATATGTATTTGTGGTTTTGGCTTTATTTGGCAAAGAAGCATAGAGTGTTTTAAGTTCTAGTCTCCGTAGGCCTTCACTACGTGACAGGACAGTGTTAATGCTTTGCATGTAACTTGCACTACGTGTCTGGCTTCCCCAGGTTTCTAACCCGGGTTGTGTTGGTTTCTATGTTGCAGGTGACACGACCCGCCAGCGAATCAAGTTCAGTGATGACAGAGTGTGCAAGAGTCACCTCCTCAACTGCTGCCCTCATGATGTCCTCTCCGGAACTGTACGTAACCGAGTGCCTTGCTTTGTTTAGTTCAGAATGGCAACACTGAATTCTTTGGTCTTTTTTAATATCTGTTGACTTCGTGCTTTTCAAGCACAGGTTGGATTCGTGCCAACTTTTATACAAAAACGGAATTTTGTATTACAGAGGCTTTTTCTCTCCATTTCTGGCACTGTATGTTAATTATTACTCAGAAATTCATATTTGTTTGCTGTAGCATACAAAACCTAAAACAGATCAGGCTACCTACGTAAATCATGCTGTAACGAAGTGTTTATGCACCGGTATTGTTGTAACTAGCAGAAATACTCCTATACAATTCTGTACAAACGCATGAAGTTACTTCCTTAAAACTCCCTGTTGGCATCTGAATGGGGAAGAGAAGTTTGTGGTTTTTGTTTTTTGGTTTTTTTTTTTTATAAATTCAGTTGCATTTTTGTGAAAGCAGTTAAAAGTACCAATAATTGCACTTCTAGAAGCTGAAATATGTTGTGCATAAGTGACAAAGTGCATGACGTCCAGTTACTGTCCTATTTTTACAGATTTAAGGCAATTTAGAAATCTCCAGTTGTAGTATATTAATAACTTGGCTTGGATTTTTGATTCTGTATCAGAGGTTCCTATGTAGGAACAAAGCACTCTGACATGTGCCAGTAACTTTTCTGGAGCAGTGGTGCTTCAGTCTGGGGGTGCCTTTGTGAAAGGCAGGGAAGTTGTTATGCTGATTATGGAAAAAGGATGTACATGTGGGCAGATACCTCAAAACAGCTGATAGGTGAGTGTGTTGATGTGCTGGGTCTCACTTGCCTACTATTCTTAATACAGCACTTCAGTAGGTTTTCTTATTTGTGTTGGCAGATGAGAAAATAAGCACTGGAAGATATGTCTTAAGGGCTATTAGAAGTATTAATAATAAGCATTTTTAGTTCTCTGTACCTTACTCTTTGAAATAACTGACTTGATTGGAGTCTTCAGTAAAATACAGAATAAAGTCCATTTCCAAGATGAAAAACTGGAATATGCAGACTTGGTAACTGGTTTACCTGTGTCTCATCCTTCAATATGAATAGCTGTCATCTTAAATAACCATGATATTTCTGGTAAATCAAAGGGCTTTGAAGACTCACGCCTAAACTAAATTTGTTTGCTTTACTTACTTTGTCATTTCTTGTACTGATAGACCAATAATTACAGTTTGTCTTTGCTTTCAATGAGAAGTCCATAGAAAAGTGGATGCAACTTTAATTATTATGAAACACATCAGCAGGAGGCAAAATGAGCAGAGAACTGAACTAGAGAATTTAAGATTGGTCTTAATATAAAAGGCAGTGGAATAGAAAAGCTCCCCTTGTTCAGCCCCTCCTTAAGGCTTGTGCCTCCTTTGCCTTGGCCTCGTGTGATGTGTTAGGTGTCAAATTGAACATAATGCATGCTGAAGCTAAGGCAGTGTAAGTGATAACAATTTGATAACAATGCTTTATGTATCATTATTGGGCATGTATATGTGCATGTGTAGGTCTATTTTTCAGCTATTTTATGTGTAACTCTGAAGTGGAGGGGAAGAGGAAGATGTCCCCCATCTGTTATGTTGTCTGGTGCTTTAGTTGCGTGGTGAACAAAAGACCTCATGGCTGGGGACATAAATGCATGCTACAGAAATGTCTGAAGTCATTGTTCAGAATTCACAGAGTCCTTTTAGAATGTTAGTTTGACAGCTTTCCACTGTGGTATAATTTCCATAAGCAAATACTTTTAGAATGGCTGTTGTTAGCAAGTAAGAGTTGTTTATAGTTCTAAAGGTTCTAGGTAGCATCCAATAATACCTCTTACAGTGCAGATCAGGCATGTAGGCTGTGCCTGTCTATGAGTGTGTTGGTTCTTGCTTAAAGCTCTCTTCTGTCTCATTCTGAGTTGTTCTGCTGCTGCTCTTGGAGTATTTATTCAGTGAGTATATGTTACTTGCTTTCTTCCTCAAAATTCAAGTAGGCATCAGGTGACAAAATGTGATCCATGATGTCATTCTAGGTCCAGCAGATCAGTGACTAGCCTAACGCTGTCAGTGGGAGTAGAAGCAGGGGACGCATCAGAAGCAGGCATTATAATATTACCCATCCAGTGTTCTGCTGTTCAGTGTTCTTAAGAAGCACGCTTCCTACCTTAGCAGCACAGCTATTAGAAGAGCAGAGAGCAAATAGTGTGTCTGACAGGTTATTGATGATTTGGGAAATGAAGATGAATTTGTTACCTGAGTTTTGAGAGGAAAATTGTAGTGTATCTTAATGACCAAGATTGATATGTGACGAGGATTGTGTGACTTTGAATTCAACATTAGAATCTTATGCTTATGCAAAAAAAGTTCTGTTGATTGGTTTATATGGTTAAATCTCTTCATTGACTGCATTGTCAATAAAATACTAGCTGTGAATTGCCAATTTCTTTTTTGCTATATCTGCCTTCTTCTGAAAGGCGCACTACTGCTCCCCTCTGCAAAATGCAGACTGCTGTGCTACTCTGTTCCACCCACTTCTTCAGAAGCACTTGAGGAAGGCGCACAGATGTATGAAACAAATAAAACTACTGCTGTCAGTAGAATATGTTAATTCAGTTTGTTCTTTAATGGCAGAATACCCAAAACTCCACTAAGGAACACGTGCTGATTTCCCTTGAAGATAAAATCGCGTTCCCTAGGCTGCAGTGTGTGTCAGCAACAGTAGTGCACATGTGCCTTTAGTAGAAGATTGGAAAGCTTGTTTTGTCCAGATCTCTGTGAATCTCATCTCTTCTGTCTTTGGATGCAGTGTCTGCTTCTTTCTTTTTAAGAATATTGTATGAGTTCTTCTAGGCTTCTCAAGAACATTTAGAGTTGTTATTTTCGTCAAATGACTTTGATCAAATTTATTATTTTGTTATCATTAAAAGTGTTTACTGAGGGGGAAAAAGGCCACAAGACAACAACAAACAAACTCACAAATGATTAAAGGTTTGAATTTTGAGTTTTACTAGGAGGTTTCCAATGTCTAGATGGGCAACAATGCACAGATTCTGACTCCTTAGAGCTTCCTTTTGTACTCCTCTGTCTTATTTCCTTGGAGTAGCTTGTCATGGTAAAATAGTCCTTCCTGGAAACCTAAATATTTGATTGAGAGCTATAAGTCATAAAAACTGACTCTGTTTCAAAGTTAAATTTTCTTCTGGGTGCTTTGCCACCAGAACAGTTGCTTCTGCTTCAGTTACCCTTTTCTTTCATGGAAATAATGGGCTGTGTTGAAGTTATTGGAAGACTGTTGAGTCCTAACAGCAGAAATGTAAGCAAAGGTAATAAATTGATAGAGGATGTTGTAATTCTGAATGTATTGTGCCCTGTGATTGTCTTGTATGTGAAGTGCCTTGTTAAGTTTGCATCAGGCAGATCCTGAGCTAGTCAGTAAGATGGCAGAAATGCTCTTTCATCCCAAGATGAGAATTTTATAATGAGATTACGAAGTCTGTGAGCCCTGTCTTTTAAGGCACAGAAAGTCACTAAGACAAAAAATTGAAATAAAAATTGCTAAGGGATAAAGACTTAACACTTGCTTTACCTTTTTAGGCTCAGTAAATGCTGATAGTCTTGTGATGGTTGATATTTTTGGTGTTTGTTTTTCAAACCATGGTTTTTGAGTTCCTTTTCATCAGTGTTACAAAAATGTTTTTGCATATCTGTATACACATAGATATGTGTGTGTATTATGACACTGGGACTGAAACTGCATATGTAGAAATCAGATTACTCCTTTTTAATGGTATGGCCCTCTCAAGCAACAGTCTCTGGATGTAAATGTTATGCTGTCTTCTGCAGGTTTTACAAGATGGGCAAGAATGTGTTTTTTCTATTTTCGTGAGTCTGTGTCTGAGTTGTAGTGGTTGAAGTGATAATGTAGTGACATTTAAAGCAAATACCTTCAGTAAGGTTAAAAGTAATCAAGTCCTGAACACTTACAGTGGTAACTGGCAGCTTGCCTTTGACAGCCCCAGCAGGTCAGTGCTTCTGCAGTGACCTTTGTTTGCTTGTTTTATTACATTGATTGTCCTTTCCTGTTGAGAGGTAAATGTCACAAGTATTTTATGTGACCTTGCAAATTGTGGTTGAGAAGTTTCTTTCTACTGGGTGAACTTTATCTACTTTTGTGCGTTTGTTGAGGTAGGTTGCTTTTTGCGTTTTGTTTTTAAAGTCCTCAAAATATGCTGTTGGTGCAGTCCTACAGTTACGTGCATGGTTAGGCTCATGAGTTCCTTGCACCCAGCCCTTCAGGAGTCGTGCTGGCTGGGACCTTGGTTTAGCAACATGCTTTGAGACGTCTTATCTTTAAGCTCATTAGGGTGGAGTTCTGTTCCAGATAAAGACACCTAAATTTAGGTTCCATCTGGGGAGCTCAGTGTCCAAGATCTATTTCACATGCCACTGGGTGCCCCTCTGAAGGTGGGCTCAATGCATCTGGTCTCATTGCACTGTATGCTCAGATTGTTTTACTGTGGAAGAGCAGTTGGGTTAGTCCTCACATCTGCAAATAGGTGTGTTTAAGTACCTGCATTTAGGTGTTTTCATCTGGAGCTGGTATCTTTGTCAGTAGTTCCATAGGCTTGGTGGAAGTATTCCATGCTTAAAACTCAGTTGTGCTGATGTGATTATTTCATGTTCTGCTAGAGGTTATCAGCAGATCAGTTTAGGTTTGATTTGATCACGTGAACTGCTTTAACCTTTGCAGATGAAATTAGGCTTGCATAAGCCACCTCGATTCCTAGTCTTCAACCTAGAGACGATGAATTTCTGTATGCTCTGTTGAGACAGTAAGTGATCACATCAGTCTCTTTAGATGTATTCTTAATTAGTTTGACCAGTGCTTAAAGAACAACTTATTTTACCACGTTCCATTTTAATGAGCGTAATTTATGTAGAAGAAGGGTTGGGTTCATTTTTTATCATTGCTCTTCAGTATGGTTATCTGACTTTAGCACTTTATAGCCTGATTATAAATTAACATTAAAGAAACAGATATCTCACTTAAAAGTGAGGCATTGTTGCCAGCTTTATCTTTCAGGGAAAATCTATTCTAAGATACTGAAGCCTTCAGAAGTAGGTAAAATTAAAAAGGGGAACATTTTTCTTGACACTCTTGGTAAAGGGAGAGGTGTGGTACCTCCAGAACACAGCGTTTCCTCTCAGATCAGAATTTCACAAATTCTCTTGCTGAACATGAGCTGTTTTGGTGGGGCTACCTTTTTAACTAGAAAGAGTTCTCTACAGAAATGCTGTTCAGAGTATCACCTCTCAGAGCACATCAAAGATGCGTGCTGGTTTTAGGAACTTTGATAGTGTGCGATACTCTGTCACACCTCTCAACATCAGTCCTTTGTGTTTTAGGTTGGTTTAGCTTCTATATGCTTTTACTGCAGACCTTACTGTGTGCATCCAGTAATCTAAACTTTGATGTCAGAAGAATATATAGTAGTTGTAAAAGCATGAAGATGAGAAGCTTGTTGTAGATTGCTCAAGACCTGAAAACAAAACGTTAGGTTCATGATTTCAAGAACAGCACCACGTCTGATGGTTTAGTCTGTTCAGCTACTGATGTCAGCTTCTTTGAGTGCACACTTATTTTTCATAAAAGCTCTTCAGCTTCTGTGTTGCTTATATTCTGGACACTTCTCCTTGCCTGTATATACTGAAGCAGGGCAGTGATCTTTCTGTACCTGATTTGATTGACATGGTACCAAGCATCAACAGGAAGCGAACGTTTCTCTTGTTAATACAGTTCTATCCATTTTCATGGATGGGATGACAAAAATAATTACTGACTCATTTCAGTATGAGGTTTATGGGGATTAAAAATGAGTTATCTACACCTCAGCTCTAGGAAATCAAGCATCTTTAATTGCCTGTTTACAGTGAACGAAAGAAGAAAAAAGTGTTATGGCAAGCGGTTAGCAAGTAGTAGCAAGTCACTTTTTTCTTGAATAGAGCTCTGCAGCAGGAGAAGATCTGCATGTGGTTGCTAAACTGTTTTCTGGACAAAATCTTCAGCAGTAACCTTCCTTTGTGATAAAGATTCTCAGGATAGGAATTTTTCTGAAGTTAATGTTCAGTAAAAATGCAGTAGCTGCAAAAAGCCCTGATGGTATGTATGGCTTCTCATATTCAATAAAAGAGTTATATCTAGCCTGAGGACTTAATTTTTCCCTCCCTTTCATTGCTTTGCTCGTCAAGATTCCTCTGTAAATCACTTCAAGTAGCATAAGTCTGTCTAAAACTTCATTGCTGATGTGATGATTTTATGTGCATGCTGTTTAAGCCTTCAGCAGTAGTTTGAAACCTGAACATCCCTTACAGCCACCTTCTGTTTCAAATATGATTGATCTTGAATGGTTGGCTGTCTTTGCCTTGATTTTGGTCTTGAATGACTGTTCTTTGCCTTTGGGGTAAGGCACAACTTGGCATCAGATTGCAACGTGGACGTGTGGAACGTGAAAATAATATCTTACTGTATCTTCTGGCCTTCTTCACCTCCTGTTCATCTATTTTGCAGATGGTCTTATGAGCCAAACTATGTGAGCTTCTTTGTAGTTTGCAAGATCCTCAGCAGTTCCAGTGTAGACTTTTGACAGTAATGAGTCATCCCTGATATGAACCAACTTTGCCTAACTTTGCTTAACATATACCAGAAGTGCATATTTTAACCTGACCTTCTGTGTAACATGTAAATTGGCTAAAATTTTAAACTTTTGTCTATGTTTCTGAGCTTGGTTTTACTAACAGTTTTTAAGATAAACGTTCAGTAGTAATAGTTCTGTTTAAGTATTTTCAAAGCAGTAGCCAGAGCTACTACAGGCTGCGCTACAGAGCTGTTCTAACAATGATAGAATTTCTTCAGCAGCAAAGCCAACAAAAAGAAATCCAGTTTCACTTGTATATGCTTGTTGTTCCTCTCTGTTACGCCCCATGAGCATTTAGAAGGCTCTGTCTGTCAAGCCCCATGAGCATTTAGAAGGCTGTGCTCAAAGCTGGATTGAAGAGAAGGAAGCAATTCAACACAGTTTCTTCTCATTGTGATGCTAACAAAAGAAAATGCTACATCACCTCCCTCCCACGGCCCCCTGAAGATTGCAGCTAATTTTATTGATGCTACTCAGGAGTTTGTGAAATGACATCTTGGTACTGTAAGAGATCCTAGCTACTCAGGTCCCCTATTATGCTTTCCCCCGTGTTTTGGCAACACCTCTGTTTGTGTGGCTGCCTGATGTGTTGGACAAAGGTACTCTGCTGAAAAATTACCTCAGTTTTTTGCTTGCTAAGGTGTTTTTTTCTCAGTTGATACTCCGATGTGCTGATAGGGGGGAGGCACAGGGTGGTGGTGAAGGGAGGGCAGAATTGTTTTTCAGTGGTAGTGATGGTTCAAAATAGTTTCCAGGCTACACGATGGAGTAAGAAGGAAACAGATTTAATCAAAATTCTTTTTGCTGTACAGTGTGCGAATTTCAATTTTAAGCCCGTATTTGTTATACCAAATAAAATTGAGTGCTCTTCTTGGTAACATCCTACATTAGGCTAAAGATTAGTGATATAATACATGAATTTGCTTTAGTTCGTGCTTCCTTCCTGTCCTATACTGTAGACCAGTTTTAGATTATGAATAAAATATCTATACTTTTTCTTCTCCGATTCATAAGGACAGTGTGGCACTCAGCTTATCTCTACTCATCAGCAAAATGTTTTGGAGAGATTTTTTTTTATTATTATTATTATTATTTTTAGCTACATGTGGTCTGAGAATATTTTTAAGTAGCACTTAACAGTGATGCTGTGGTTGCAGTTATTCCAGATAATGATCATAGCCAGAACATTTATATTGTGAACTGTGTGGAAAGATCAGATCAAGCACTTGACCATTTAATTGCTAATTATTTGTAGGAATCTTGGTTCTCTTGTTTTATTTCAAGACAGAATGTTCTACTTCAGTGACTTTTCTTGCACTTTCAGTAAAAATAACTTATGCAGATCAGTAACATTAGTCTGTCACGTGAACAGCCATCACAGAATAAGCTGTATACTCTGTCTTTATATTTTTTGTCATCATTAATGCATCTTTAATAGAAATCTGGGTTTGTCTTTAAAGATTTATTAAGTTAAACATATCCCCATAAGGGAGATGATTTGCTTCAGCATGATTTCCTTTAACAGTCAAATATTATAACTTTATTCTTGCATATACTGCTTGTTATACTACTTTCCCTATGTCTCTTTTCAGAGAATGGACCTTGGAGAATGTCTGAAGGTGCATGACCTGGCATTAAGGGCAGACTATGAAATAGCATCCAAAGATCAAGATTTCTTCTTTGAACTTGATGTATGTATTTTGTCACAATGGTGGAGAGAAAGTGTAACTTGCATGCGCTGGGGGAGATAAACTGAGCAGCAAACAGTCAGATTTGGTGCACAAGGAAGGAAAACGTTTGGAAAATAATTTTTTAAATATTTGTTTACATGGCTCATCATGATCATGTGCAAGCACTTGAATTTCTAGTCATCTCAAGGTAGGATTGTTAATAACCTTACAAAAACAGATAAGTATGAACCTGCATGCTGTCTTAGCAGTAACAATCATTGAGCCAATGCTATGCAGTGTATAATTTGAAGAAAGGCTTATATTCTTGTTGGGGGAGGAAAAAATCATTTTGTACTGGGAATAACAAATGATATGCTGTGTCTCAGTACATTGTCTGAGTAATGCAGTTATGAACTCCCAGCTAGGAAGTTGGTCTTGAGCACAGATAAAAGGTTTGGGTTTGTTGTTGCTGGGGGTGGATGATGTTAATATACCTCACAGCTTAAAACCCTGGTGGAGCAATGTATTAGTATTGCATGCATTAGTAAGGTGAAGTGAATATATCTATCCTTTCAGAAATTTTAATGCATGTTATAAATGCTGGCTGCTTCTTAGCGAATAAGAGTTGGGACAGAATCCCTTCCAAGTTTCTGCGACTTGTACATTTTGACAATGTGTAGACAGCTTTTTGAAATGTTAGTGTGATTATACACCTTAAGCTGTTATGTTATTGTTTTATAAGTTTCCCCAAGAAAGCCTTTTAAAAGTTAACCTTAAGCCAGGAATTTGTTGAAGGTAATGAAGTGCTAGTGTTCTTTACAGTGTTAATTAGTATTCTGTTGGTGTTTTAGGCAATGGACCACCTGCAGTCATTTATTGCGGACTGTGACAGGAGAACAGAAGTTGCTAAGAAGAGATTAGCAGAAACCCAAGAAGAGATCAGTGCTGAAGTTGCAGCTAAAGTAAGCATGTAAAATTGCTGAATTTATTTTGGAGGTCTGTTGTTTTAAAAGAAACCAGACTACTCGAACTGAGAATTCATGCTGATGAATCTATAAACAAAACACTTCATGTGGTCTTCTTCTAACTGAAAAAAAAGTTCTGTCATTTTTCTGCAAATATATGTGTGCCACGAGGGATGGTTGTATAAATAGTAATTTTGCAAGTTGCATTGGCAACAGTGTGAATTACTTGAAATTTCTGAACAAGATCCTGTTCCAGAGCTGCTTTGGTTTCTAAGCATCTTTCTGTGTGTTGATGTGAGACAGTTGTTTCCCTGTTATTTGGAGAACTCCTCTGCATGCTTCCTTTTAATTTTATCCTGTGAATTTTGCATATAAGAATAGCTCAGTATTGGCTCACGTTATTTTTCCATAACTAAGACTGTTTCCTTTGTTGAGCCTTTCTTCCTCTTTCAAGGCTGAACGAGTTCATGAATTGAATGAAGAAATTGGGAAGCTACTGGCCAAAGTAGAACAGCTAGGAGCTGATGGAAATGTGGAAGAATCTCAAAAAGTAATGGATGAAGTGGAGAAGGCCCGGGTAAAGAAGAGAGAAGCTGAAGTGAGTTGATTATTTAAGGCTTGTGAGATGGAGAGGACAAAATTAAATTAGTAACTGTAGTGCAAGATGTCTTAACTACAGTTGCTTCCTTAGTTTTATATAAAACCGAGGGATTTGCTTTGTGTATAGGAGAAGTTAAATGCACTAAACATTAAAATACACTCCTGTGCTACTAGAGTTACACTTATTTCCTTTGGTGATGCATTTAGCTGTACTGGCTGCTACATCTCTTGTGTCTGTGTTTGTGGGGACTTAATCATCTTGTTGGATCTCACAGCTCTGTGGTAACCCCACTGTTGATTGTGATGTGCTGGGGTGTGACTTGCATGGGAGACCTTTCAGACCCTTCTAAGCTTGTCTTCATTGAAAGATGGCTAATGGCTTCTGTATCAGGCAATTCTAAGCAGTCATTGTTGTAAAGTTAAGATGCAAACATCACTGGGAGCTGTTCTATATTGTGTCTCACCAAGGTACTTACATTTGGAGAAAGAAACATCTATGGTTGTTTAATGGTACCAGAGGGGTTGCTGGTAGTCTCATCAGTCTGTGATCTCAGTGTAGGTAAATGTTGCAAGGATAACATAATGTTTAATTTGTGTCTAAAATGTGCATAGATTTGTTTTTAAATTGGGTTCAGGATAAGTATACGTAATGCTTCATAGTATGGTAAAATCTAGTAACTGTAGTGTTAAGATATATTCATTGTGCTGTCTAGGATGATAACTTCTCTTTATATGTAGTATGATCTGAAATAAAGACAGTAATCACTCTACTTTGTTTAATTTGCAAAACCAGTTGCTGATATCCCCATTGTAATATACCTGTCTTCAAAGTGAGGAACCTGCAGTGTGTCTTAGTAAGACAGTTAATTGACACTGTGAATCAGCATCTGCTGATTGGCTTTGAGTTATGCTATCAAAAGTAATATACTTGTTTGAAAAACTATATTTCTATGAATTGAAAAGAAAAAGGTAACTTTTTTTTTTCTAGGAAGTGTACAGGAATTCTATGCCTGCCTCTAGCTTTCAACAGCAGAAGCTACGGGTTTGTGAAGTGTGTTCAGCTTATCTTGGTCTTCATGACAATGACCGACGTCTTGCTGACCACTTTGGAGGAAAACTACACTTAGGATTTATTGAAATAAGAGAGAAGCTTGAGGAACTCAGGGTAAATCATTTCTCTGTTTTGTTTGTGCTCTTAATTACTTGTCAGACAATCTTAATGGAATCTCTGGGTGTGTGAATTCTTTCATGTTACCTTAAGATATTTCATTGGTCTGTAAACACCGAGTGCAGTTGTTAAACACCAAACATGCCTATTAAATAGCAGTTATCTACATAATTTGTGAAGATGGCCTCTTTCGCACTAGGTAGATTAAAATGTGCTCGAAGAATGCATCCTGGGAATGGAGAGTGCAGTTCCACTTGTGAACTTGAGAACTGTATTCTGAAGCATGTTTAGTAGACATAGAAGATAGGCAAATGAACTTCTCATTTAGCCAGTTAATTAGATCAATGTGTAATAATGAGGCTCTTAAAAGTACAAGAACGTGTAGCAAATGTAAGGCAGTGGTGTTTCATTCCGTTAGGAATAAAATAGAGCTGTTGTTGATAGCTTTGCTTAGCGTTGGTACCAGTGAAAAAGATGGACCTAAAGAGGAAATTAATTCATAGCAATAATTTTGAAAAGATCTGCCAAAGTGTTTGAAGCACCGACAGTGTGATGAAAGACCGCAAACTCATTTTATTTTATCCAGTCATATAGATGAGATTTTTTTTTTTTTAAGTGATTTGGAAGCTTTTAAGCTTGACTGGACAATAGTTGAAATGAGTTGAGACAACTTAAGGCTGTAGATATCTGAATCAAAGTAGAAGAAGGTGTATGTCTTGAAGTGGGACTAACTTAAAGTAATTGTTATGGGGAGGCTGCATGTTCTCCATAGCTTTCAGTTTTGAAATCCAGTTGGAATATTTTGCTAAACAAATCTACCTTGGACCATTGAAATTGTGTATTTGAAGAAGGACTTACTGGAATTATATTCTAGACTTTTGGTATTCAAGAGTATGGACTTGGATGCTTACACTATTTATGATCTTAATATGTTAATTATGGAGTTTAGGGCTCATTTAAGCATGTTACTGTAGAAATTACTGAAGATGACTGCTAAATGAATCGAAGCCCTAAAAGCAGAGACGTTACTGCAGAATTTGAGTAACGTAGCTTGGGTTGTTTTGAATATTCCAGCTGTCTTGCATGGATACTGTAACTTAATCTTTGGAAAGCCCAACTCTTTCCCTTGACTATATTGGCAATGGAGGCTCCAAAATAAATTGCTGTAATTCAGACCTTAGCTACCTAGAGGAGATCATGTGTGTTTCCTTTCATCTCTCTGTGAAACTGCAAAGATTCACTTGAACATGAAACCTTGCTTGTAATTAAATTGCTGATATTTTGCAAGGCAATATAAAAATGATTTGACATAAAGGGGCTCGTTAACTGATTATTACCACATTTGGAGAAAAATATGCATGGATAATTATTTCACATTCCCAAAGCATCAATAAAATAATCTTTTGAAATACTTCACTAACAAAAAAAGAAAACAATAATTATCCCCTCCTTCCTCAGAGCTCTCCTCAGAGATCTAATCAAGATGCTGCTGGGGCAATTCCACATCTCAGAAGAAGGTCTTTACAAAGAGTTGAATTTCTTGCATCATGTCCAGAAGGTGGCGAGACTTGGGTTTGGCCAGATCTCCAGTTGTGAGTTCCACATCTGAGGGCCCTCTACTGAGCGTGCCTTGTCCCCAGTAGTAGTGAGTTCAACCTGGGGGCTGTTAGCTGAAACATCCTTTCTAATTACATGTATAATGTTCACAACTCAAACAGCTAGCCTCAAAACTAGATATCAGCCCAACCAAATCCTTTTAAGACCAAGAGTTTCTTTATTTCACAGCATAGCTGATGGAGTTAACATTTTTAGCTCCTCCTGTTCCGATTACCGTTTGCCTTTCCCCAGTGGCCAAAATAGGGTAGGATTGGCATGAAAGCTCTCACATTAAGGCATGACTTTCTGTTCTGAATTCCCTTCATGAAAAACTTACATTTAAGTTTACGTCTTTCAGGTCTTGGTGTAACACCCATCTGTTTATAGCAGCTCTTCTGCGATAACCTGTGTTTCCTGAAAAAGATAAAATATACTGAGGAAGAGAGAGGGACTAATACTCAAAAGTGAATATTCATGAGGGAAAGAACTGAATATTAACAGTATAGATTGCTTCTGTAGTTTTTTACCTTCATTTGAAAAATATTGAAATGTAACTTAATCAGTGTATTCTGTTGCTTCCAGAGGATTGTGGCTGATAAACAAGAGAAACGAAATCAGGAGCGCCTGAAACGCAGAGAGGAGAGGGAAAGGGAAGAAAGGGAGAAACTAAGGAGGTAAGGATCTATTTCACCTGCATATACGTAACGGCCTATTTAAGTTAAATGGAAAAACTACGATGATGTTCATGAACATTTGTTTTATAAAATACACAGAATTGTGTTAATTTCCCTTCAACACTTAGAGGAATTGGAACTGAATATACTTGATTCTTAAAACCTGAATTATTTTCATAGAAAACCTTTTCTTTAAAAAAAGAAATGCAAATACTAGTAGTTTTTCCTACATATTTGAACAAATGCACATGAAATGAGGTATATTGACATCTGATGTATGATGCATAGGTGTTGTTAATTTTTTTCTTACTGGAAGTATTTGAATGTATGATTAAGGAAAATAATTCCCTATTTTTCTATGAAATGATTACTTTCATGCTTTGTGGGGATAGGATTGAATGGCATCTCAACTGCAGTTCTCTTGACATACTGGCTCCCAAGGCCAATAGTGGAAATGTTTAATAATGTCAGTATTCCCTTATTTCTTGTCATGCTATTTAACTGTAATCTTTTGTTATTGAAGTGGGGGATGGGGATGAATTAAAAAGTGGAGTAGTATCCATGTCCCCACTCCCTCAAAAAAAACAAACAAACAAACAAACAAAAAAAAACCAGCCACAACCACCACCTACAACAAAAAAATCCAAGACAGTTGTTGAGGGGTTATGTATTTTCTAATAAATGTTATGAAGCTGTACTTGAAATGTTTTATTTGAGATTAACATGCAAGTAAAATGAAGACCACAATAGCTCTGATAGTTTGACTTCAGATTACTAATCTGTACTTTATATTTTATATTAGGATTATGAAAGTAAAATTAATTTACCATTTTCTATTTGTTTCAGGTCCAGATCCCACAGCAAGCATACCAAAAGGTACTTAAGTCTGCAGGCAAAGAATGCCATCAGTAATGCAAGCCTTTCACAAGCTGAAATTTTCTACTTTTTGTCTAGCCTTATTAAGACCTCTTTCTTTACAGACAGAACATCCTACTGCACAGCCATCTCTGTGTGCTTATACAGTGTTTGCCATTGTGCTCCTTAGTTACTTATCCACATATATCTATTTTGTGGCTATTACAATGCTACAAACTGTTGTATCCCTGGTAACACTTGGAACACAGAGTATTACTTCCTTCGAAACAGATGCTTGTGTTCAGTACCTTTAACTCACACCTGGAGTGGTAGTTCTCTTCTTAACCTGAAGTTGAAAGTCACCAATGAAGTGTTGTTGTTCTCAAAGCACCATAATAGCCAGCTTCTGGCCAGATAATCCCCATCCCTTCATCACAGACTTCTAAACAACAAGAATTTAAACATCTTTTTTTCCTTTCTGTTGTCTCAATTGACTATGCTGTAAGTACATGCGTAGTCACTGTGAGACTGTTTGGAGTCATACAGCACTTCTGGTGTTGCTCTCCCCTCCTTGTTTCCCTGTGGTGAGACGATGCAGTAGCTCTGAACAGTGCAGACTGTTCTCTGTACGGCTTTTTTTTTCACGTGGATTGTGAGATTTCCAAGGGACACTGACAGTGCAGGATCCCGAGTGCTTTCTGTTTCTAGATCTAGGTCCCGAGATCGCCGCAGACATCGCTCTCGCTCAGCCTCCAGGGAACGGAAAAGAAGAACTCGCTCTAAATCCCGCGAGAAGCGCCATCGCCACAGGTCTCGCTCCAACAGCCGCAGCCGGAGTCGCAGCCATCATAGAAGCAGGCACAGCTCCAGGGAGAGGAGCCGAGAGCGCAGCTCCAAAAAGAGGTCAGTGTTGATCTGAACGGCTTTTCCTGCATGCATAATCAGATTTTTTTTTTTTTTGCACTAAATTAAGTTTACCTTCAGCACTAAGTAAATTTAAACTTGTTTTGAGGCTGTCACAGACTTCAGTTATGCTCTTCACATATTCATGATTTAACATGTAGTAGTGGTTTTTTCTCTTTTTCTATAGTAGGTTTATGTATTACTTCTGTTGTAGAGAAGTGATACAGGATATTGTTGTTAAATCTTGATAGTTTCCTGCAGCATAGCAAGTGAAATGATTGATCTCCATTTGAACTTCAGGATATGAGCAGTCTTCTTAACTTACCTCTTGGGTTCTTGCTCCCAGGGGTGGAATGCATCTGTTGTGTGCTCTCCCAAATAAAGACAAGTTTAGATATATCTGAAAATGAATTTCTTGCATGAGATCTGAAGATAGCACTTTGCATGCAAAGCGCTTTGATCCCTTTCTTAAGGATTACTGTAAAGAGCAGTCTGCAGCTGCTGCCTTTGTGTGACTCAGTTGCTGTCTGCTCCTGGGGGTTCTTGGCTTATTTTAGATGAGTGAGGTAAAGCATAATTTAGAAAGGAGTTGGAATTGCAAAGCGAGGCTTCTGGTAGAGAAGTCTGCTCGTAACCTGGATTCCATTCTTGTGAAGGTCAGTGACTGAGGCAGAGATTTGAGAGCATTATAGAGAGTAGGGTGCTGAGTCTTAAAACAGTGACAGACTGTCAGCATACAAAAAGAGAAAAGGTCCAGTTTGAAGTGTCAAAAGACGTGGGTTTTAGAGTTCAAGTGATTTTAGTTTCATCACCAAGGATGATAAAACTACTGAGCGGTTGTTGAATGTGTTCACATGTGCTCTTTGCCTTAAAGATGAGCTTTCTTCCTAGGTTAGATGATTCTAGTCACACTGCTCTGCTAAGAGCATGGAAAGCAGAGTTGGGTCAAGTTTTCTATTTCCTTCTTTTTGTGGCAGGTGAATAAAACCTGAGTGTCCAGCACTCTAGCTGATACTGTCAGTAGTGTCTGGTATTTAAAATTCTTCAGAGTGTTCTGTGGTGTCCTGAAGTCAGCATTTCAGAATCAGCAGTTTCTACGTTGATGTTAGCTTGTCATCAGTTATCCTCTAGAGCATGTCTTTTCAAGGCATTCACAATGACAGATTACCAGACTTCAAACTTGTAGTTTTTTCAGTCTTGAAATAGAAATTTTCATTTGAATCAACATGTTTGTTCACTCAGATGAACCAGTGCATAAAGCATATACTCAAATTGCCTTTGGTACTTCAGCCTTGAAGTCTAGCCTTGCAAGACTGAATTTCAGAGAAAATTGATTGTTCTAAGATTCTCATCATAGTTGCTCAAACTTTTAATTTGATGAGCACAAGAAAATGATGTGTTATTTCTCTGCCTGCAGGCAAAGGATCTGTAAGAACAAGAAAATAGCATGGAAATGTTCAATTGTTGGTGTTATCTGTGTAACACAAAACCTGTCAGCTGCCAGAGATGAATTGTAAGAACACAAAGTAATTTGAAGATGAAGTCATTGTCGTCTTGCACAATACTATCAAAGGTTAAGTTCTTCAAGCTATGTTTTATATGAGTGAGGAAAAAGACTAGATTTCATGGCACAGGATTTCAACTTTATGAACCTCAGTACAGGAAATACTTTCCTTGGTGCCAGTTTCTGCCCAAAATGAATAAGACTGATCTGTGTTGGAAAAGTCTTTGGCACAAATAAGGGTTTTGGACTATAGCTAACTTGAGGGAAAAATGTTTTGCCATCATATCTCTTAATTCTCTAATGCCAAACAGCATTTTTGCCCTTGAAGTATGCAAGTTGTGATTTCAAGAGACTAATGAATCCATATAGCTGCAGACTTCTCTGGAATCAGGACATCTATTGACCTTTCAACCAGACTAGATGCCTCCTTCTTAGAAATAATCTTCAAGCAATTAGATCTACTTCTTGTATGAATGTGGGAGAATTCTTCCTGTTGAATACAATGCAACTATTGATTCTGGAATCCAAAATAAACCTGAACTTGAAGGCTCAAACACATCGAGCTTCATGTTTTCTAAGAACTCTTTTTCTAGTCAGAGGGAACTGCTCTTTGTCAAATCACCTTGTTTGTAATTTTGTGAGGAATTTCTTAAAGTCCAGATATAAAGTATCTCTATTCACATTTACCTTCCTTTAATCTCAAAACATCCAATCATCCAAGGGATTCTGGCAAAAGATACTCTGGAGAAGATACACTGCAGCACGTTACCAGTTTCAGGAAGGAGTCCAAGCCTTTTGTTTTTGGATGGCATATGCACATGAAATCAGGTCTGAGGAATGTGATGCTTTTTGAAGCCTTTTCCAGAAGAGCAGAGTGACAGCAGGAACGTTGGAGAACTGCTGAAATCTGCAGTGGTGGCAGCACGTGATACCATCGACTTTAAAGCCATTGAGGGAAGTGTGGAGTTGTAATTTCTCTGTGGGAGGAGTGGCATTTTACACTAGCATAAAGCCTTCTGTGTGATTTTGGCTGGAGTGTAGTAAAAATACTCAGTAGCATTGTCAAAGTTTTTGCAAACTACTGAGTTCTGTTGGTAAAGCTATTTTTTGTCTTGTTCTTTGGATGCTTTTGGATTTTTTCTTCTTGGGAATGCTGGGGAGGGGCTTTTTACAAGAGTATGTAGTAACAGGACAAAGGGAAATGTCTTAAACTGGAAAATGGTAGATTTGAACTAAATATTAGGAAGAAATTCCTCACTGCGAGGGTGGGGAGACACTGGAACAGGTTGCCCAGGGAAGTTACAGATGCCCTTTCCCTGGAGGCATTTAAGACCAGGCTGGATGGGACTTGGAGCAACCTGGTCTAGAGGGAGGTGTTCCTGCCTATGGCAGGGGGTTGGAACTAGATGATCTTAAAGGTCCCTTCCAACCCAAACCATTCTATGACCATATCTAGTATGGCTTCAACACATAAGTGTGCTAGGCAGCTAAACTGCTTACTAGATAAACTCTTCATGCTTCCTCTGAAAGCTCCCATTTTGATAGGTATAACACCACATACAAGTGTGCTGGGATTAGCATTTGCTGCAACCATAATTTACTTCCTTTGGATTTTCATGTCTGCTTTTCTTCTGAAAACATTTTCTGAAGAGCCTCTCACAAAAAATAAGCTGCCACCTCTCAGATGCTTCTTCATTCTAAAAGCAATGGGATGTTTGTGTGCTATTTGAGAAAATTCTACAAATGCAGAAATTCTTGAGATAAATGTTTTCTTTAATCTGTATCACCATTCACCCTACAAACGTGGATAGATTTAAATCACGTAATAGCTAGAATCTCATTTCAAATTTATCATTGTAAGGAGCAGACTTCTGCATGACAGGACGTGTCTGAAGTATCTGGTGCAGTAAAAATGCATCAAAAGATGGAAACCTGTTTGACAGTCACAGCAACATGGCTGAGATAGTAGGAGCCCTGCACCTCCCCAAGTGTAGATTACAGATTTACCAAGAGCAGGTCTAAATACACTGCTGTGTTTCCTCACTGTTGACTGTAAGGTCCCACTAACTAAAATGGGTAGAGAAGAAGCAGACTGAGCATTTTGCTGCTTCGTTACAAAGAAGTGCTGATGTTAGATGTTCTTATTCATACTCAGTGATAAGACAATCAGGAAGCAGGCCCAGGTGTGTGTGAACGGAGATGCCTGTGTCTGTGTGCTTGAGCTTGCCTGCAAGAGCTCATATGACAAAGGCTAATGTTCTTTGTGGGCACAGTGTGGTCAAATGAAGTATCTGAAATCATACAATTGGATTCCTTTTCTCCTGGTTTTAGGTGGCTGGATCAGATGTAAATCTTGTGATTCCCATTGCAGACTCATCTGACACACTTCTGTCTGAAGGTAGACAGTTAGGATATGATTAGTCTCGTTTCTTTGCTAGCTGGTGAAGAATTCTGGCTGATTAGCTCAGATGTCTGTACTGCAGGCATCTAAAGCTGGGTGAGAGAAATCCCGCTTCTAGCATTTAGGAAAATATATTTTTTAAATATCCTTCAGATCCTGGCGGACAAAAGAATATTATAGCCCTGTGCTTACTCTCCATGGTGATGGGAGGTGCAGGCTTAGTTTTCTCATTTTCTGTCTTTTGAGGAGAGAGGAGGATGAGAGGAAAAAGGAAGGGGGGGGGAATAAAGCAAACAACATAGACCTGTGCATTTATTCAAATTTCTCACCCCTTACAAGTGTAGAAACCACAGCTATCTTGCTTTCTTAGATCTGATACCAGACTGCCAAAGCTACTTAGGATTTTTGTCCAGGGCTTTTTACTTTTTTTTTTTGTCCTTGGAGTTTATGTAGGTGTTCACAAACGCTGCCCTCAAACCAGTATTATGTATTTATAACACAATTCATAGCTAGTGAACGTGACAGTAGATGCTACCTGTGTGTCTTGTGAAGGTAGGGGGAGTTTATTGTGAAATACCTACTTGATTGCTTGGGAAGTGATTGTTCCTGAGCAATTGAGGCAATACAATCTAACAGAGGTTCTAATTCTAAAGACAATATCTTGTCCTTGGAAAAGATAGGAGTGGTACCTTAGTTCTAAATCTTCTGGTAATAATATTGATTGCTAAGGCAATTGTGAGCTTTCATACTGTGACTTACTATTCTAGGTTAATCACTAGTTAGTCTGAGACAATCGGTTTGGGAGCATTTGTGCTTCTGCAGTGAACTTGTGCAAAATACTTGGGAACTGCAGTATTGACTACAGTATTAACTTCTTATGTGATACATAGTTTGGCTTCTTATTTCTCATGTGCTTTGTGGTATGGGATTGCTGTCTGAACTTCACCATTTGCAAATACTACGTTTTGCAAAACACTGCACTGTCATGAAAGTAATCATTTTAGCTTGAAAACTGAAACAAAAGGTAATTTCTCAGTGAACTCATAAAAGAAAGTTTAGTGCAAAAGCAACTGCAAACTTCTGTTTTGAAGCTTGGAGGTACCAACAGTTACATGCTTGGTGTAGAGAGAGCACAGCTTACTGTCCAGTGTACTAGATACATTGACTAAGGAATTAGTGACTAGCTTTGTAGTGTGTGACTGAGATTGTTCTGTGAGAGTGTGAGTTTGATTTATTTATTTACAATTGCAAGGCATCTTGGAGTGAAAACATGTTTTTCAGTGATGGGTTTAGGTGCACCCTGCAAGGGAGGCCTGTACCTAATCAAGTGTCTTCAATACAGGCAGCTTATTTAATTCTAAGCTGTGTGGAATGTTTAACAGAACAGCTTTTTCTGGCTTCTCTGTAAAGGTTTTGGAAATGCCTACGACTACAGCAAAAATATCTGTAGATAACACCATGCTGATGTTCTAAAATCACTCAAGGAATGATTCTTCTAGAAACAAACACCCAGCAGCTTGGAGCACAGGCTCCAGATGTGTTCTTTTCTTTGTCATGCAACAGCAGACGAATTCCAGAATCAGTACAAGTTAATTTCTCCTCTTTTAATTAAATTCTCATTTTTAAACGCAGTAATTTTTTTTAAAAATGTGTAGCCTGGATGTGTGAGAGATGCTAGACAATCCTTCTCAAGCTAAAGGCAATGTGACAAATGATTGCACAATGTGCTAATACGAGACAGTGAGGGTTGAAAATGGAAAGATGCAGCATGTTGACCCTCTGAACTCTGTAGTAAGTGCGTATGAAATTTTGTCTCTGTCAATATTTGTATTTTGAAATTGAAAGGAGGGAAAGGAGGAGAGTGCAATGAACTCCGCTGTCATCTCATGCGTTTCTGTTCATGCAAATCTAACGTTGGGCTGGAACAAGGAGCAAACTTGAAGATCAAAATGCTGTTTGGGATGTATGAAGTGGTGACTAACTAGAATTCTCAAATGTACTGCACTTCCAGGTCCTCCAAAGAGAGATCTTCCCGGGACAAAGAGCGTTCCAGAGACCGTGATAGAACATCGCGTGATAAAGATCGAAGCCCGAGGGAGAGATCGCCGCGGGATTTCAAAGACAGGAAACGTTCTTATGAAAGTGCTAATGGCCGATCAGAAGACCCAAGGAGCTCAGAGGAGCGTGAAGCAGGGGAGATATAACTGGCTGTATATTCACCCAATTTCTAGCTTCCTATGGAGTTGCATACTATGGTTTAGTTTACAGTTGTTCAAAGGGACGCCAGTGAGCAGTTTGAGATACTGATCCAACTAGGGTAGATGTACAGTATATAAAAGTGGTTAAAACTAAGTCAGAATTAAACCCCATTGATTTAACTATGCCTAAAGCTGGGTCCTGGACTTCCACCAAGTTGTAAAACTTTTCTGAAAGATTCCTCCTTATTCAGGACGACAGTTTTATGTACAAAGATGGCAGATCTCAATGTTTTTAATCTCCTTTCCAATACAAGTTAATGAACAAATTACGTTGTACTACTTGCCTTGGGTGCTTCTGAACCTTTATAAATTCTCCAATTCTGCTCCAGTCAAAACAGCAGCATTGAAAGGTTGTACTTCTTGGGATTTTTTTTTTTGTTTGCTTTTTTTTGTAAGAGGGTGGGTGGATGGATATTAACTTTTATTCTGAAGTTATGTTCCCAGTGATATTTTTGTTGTTGTTGTTGTTTGGGAACCTAGGAATTGATTACAGTGGGAGCGTTAGACAGGAATGTGTGCTGGAGAAAGCTGAAATGTCTTTTTACAGTGCCTATTTAGACTTGGAAATTGAACAGCTGTTGCATTACATCTTTTTTTATTTCTACTTAAATTTTGAAATCAAAGCCAGTCCCGTATCTGTACCATTTGATTGGTATGTGTTCAATATATTTGTTTTTTTCCATAAGGACTCTTTCTGCTTTTTCTTGTGGGGTGTAAATGGCACATCTTTAATTGTATTAAAACAAACAAAAAACAGCCACAAGCAGCGCAACAAACAAAACCTTAAGAACAAAAATAAAAAAAATAAAAAGGAAATCACACTGTCCAATAACTTAACAAGAATATATTGGTCTCTTAAGGTGATTCATGCTCTAGCAGAAGCAGTCTTTCTTTGTATGATCCTGACTATTCTAAGATCATTAGAGGTAAAACCGTGGAATTAAAATGATCGTGGCATAGCCACTAACTGCATGATGACTTCATTTTCAAAAAGCAGCGTTTATTGAGTCTGGAGCACAAGTCTTATGAGGAGCAGCTGAGGGAACTGGGATTGTTTAGTCTGGAGAAGAGGAGCTCAGAGGAAGCCTTACAGTTCTCTACAGTGACCTGAAAGGAGGTGTGGTGAGGTGGGTTGGCCTTTTCTCCCACATAACTAGGAGTAGGACCAGAGGGGGTGGCCTCAGGTTGGCAGCAGAGAAGATTCAAGTTGGGTGTTAGGAAAAATGTCTCTGAAAGGATGGTCAGGCACTGGAATGGGCTGCCCAGGGAGGTGGTGGGGTCACCATCCTTGTTGCTGTTCAAGGAATATTTCAGTGTTGTACTGAGGGATGTGGTTTAGTGGGGAAATATTAGTGATGGGTGGATGGTAGAACTGGATGATCTTGAAGGTCTTTTCCAACCTTGGCTGATTCTATGATTCTGTGATTCAGGTACAAACTCTCTTTACCTCAAGGACTAGGCTGTGAATCAAATCAGTTACTCAGGTAGCTTCTACCTTCACTCAGAAGAAAGAAATTAGAATTTAATATATCCTCCTTGAGGTGGCACCACTGAGGTACATAACAGCAGCAATGCTTGTCATGATATATTGGCATTTTTAGCTGGTTCTAACAATATATGCCCTAATCAAAGGGCCTCTGGAGGCCAGCTAATCATAGCTGTACAACGCAGCTATAAATTCACTGTGTGCATTTCCTCCTCAGTATCTTTTTCACTGTGATCAGAACACATAGGTGATAATTGTCAAGCAGTAGATGACTGCAGCATTTTGGTGGCATCAAGCTAGAGCAGGGCCTTTACATCTCTGCGAGGACTTGTGTCCAACATGGTTCATACTCAACCACTGCATATTTGTGTCTTTTTAAGCTCCTGTGGAAACAGTGTAATAACAATGGCTACCTACTTACCACATCTTTACACTCACTTGAAATCTAAGTGTGAGTTTCCTTCCTAGGAATGTTTTGTGACATCTGGTGTTGCCCAGCTGCATGGTAAATGTGAGTTACCAGTGTTCATCCCTCTGATAAACGCTTGCTAAAATCTGTTATCACACCGTTATAATGGAATTCTCACTGCTAGTGTGACAAAGGTGAGGTCATTTCTAAATGCATCTTGTATAGTAGAATTGCAGATGAGTGTATTGCCAACTCCTGCAATAATAGCATTCCAGAAATACTGAGGACCTGTCTCCCCACACAGGCCAGAGATGCTGTGCTTAGACAGGAAAGAAAAAAATCATACTGCAATTAAAAATATCACTCCTCACTACCAAGTTCTGGATAATATGCCATCAGTTTTACAAATGCTTTTTTTTGTTGTTGTTAATTTTTTTTTTAATTAGAGTGTTTAGAGCTGAGCCTTCCATCATTTATAGGATCTCCTGGGGTGGGAAGCTTCACAATATCCAAGTGCCACACAAACATTAGGCAGATCAAAGGTAAGTCACCACCTGTTCTGACTGGCACATGGAAATGTGCTTTCTCTTGGAAGTGAGGACTGAAGTGTGTTTTGGAATAGAACTGAGTTAATGTGACTGATGGTTCCCTCTTCTGATGCAGTGGAACATCTGTCAGTGAGACTGCTTTGTTAACTGTGCCTGTGCAGATGGTGGTTTTAAACCCTTCTGTGAGAATTGAGCTACCTTTGTATCTTGGAGGGAGAAGCCCTGAGCTTTTCATTATTTCTCTATTCTGCTGGACATTTGAGGGATGGTGTTGACTTACCATAGTCTGGAAGATCAAAATGATTATGGAAGGGAACTACTGCATCATGTAATTGAGAGTTTTGACAGCTGTAGTGGTGTTTAGATAAAAAGGGAGGAGGGTGGCTCTTTGTCTTTAAATATATCCTGGGTCCCATCTGTTTTGTACCAGTTCTGCCCCAGGGATATGGCAAGCTTTCAGTATTGCAGCAAGGTGCTTCTGCAGGGCAGGAAATGGCACCGTGTGTATTACTGCATAACTGGGAGGGTTCTGTAGTGGATGAAGTTGCAGTGAGCATAAAGCAAATGTAAGTGCAGAATGAGCCTTGGGCCAGAGGTGATGGCAGTGTGCAGCCCCAGGTGGGGCAGTGCAGCCTGTCTGTCCCACTGCTCCACCCCATGTTTCACAGGCCACCTTCATTTACAGGCTGTCCTTAGTTCAGCAAGCAGGACAGGTTAGAGCTGCTCTGGAAGCAATAGCTTATAAAAAGCATTTGTCGGACTTTCCATTGGTTTTGAATGGTTCTTTATTTTTGGTTTTGATCCTTTTTTTCCCCTAATTCTTGATTCATTTTTGCACTCCAGCACACAAAAGCAGGAAACTGTTGTGTGGGAGCTGGAAATACAGGGGAAGAGGGGAATGTGGGCATTCCCCATCCCTCCCTTGCTCTCCTCTTTCTCCTGTGTAGGCAGACAGGGAACATTAGTGGGCAATTAGGAAGTTCTCCTGTGGCTTTGTCTCTGTGGACACTGCCTCATGTTGCTGAGGTGACAGTGGTCCCCAGTGCCTTCCCCAGTTGTACTGGGAGAGGCATCAGCAGGGAGACTGACATGGGGATGGCAAGCACAGAATGTTCCTATTTCTGCTGTTTGTTGAGGAATCGAGTGGTTCAGCCTGGGGTGCTGCTGGCTCACGAGGGGAAAAAAATCACTGCTATGCAACCATTGCTTGTTAGGTGCTGACCGTGTGCAGTCTGACTGCTGTAACTGTGCCATGGACAGGCTCAAATCCACTCTGCCGTACAGGCTGGAAGTGCTCTGGTGTGGCAGATCAGGTTACCCAAGCATCAGTAGTATCTGACAGCAAATTTTCTCAGTATTAACTTTAGAAACATTAAGGAGAAAATCTCTGACATCCCCCTCTTCTAAGGCAGGATGTCCCCTGTATTGATTTGCCTGTGTTTCTTTCTATTCCCTGAGTTTCACCAAAGCTGCCCCTGCTGCAGGCCTTAAGGGAAGCAGTGGAAGGTCAGGGCCAAGCTGGATGGGGATTTGAGCAACCTGGTCTAGAGGGAGGTGTCCCTGCCTATAGCAAGGGTTTGGAACTGGGTGATCTTAAAGGTCCCTTTCAACTGAAACCATTCTGTGATTGCGTTTGCTCAGCAAAACTGAACTGTAACACGTGTTCTTTCTACATTGCTGAGGTAACAGTTGGAATCAGAAAGTGTTTTCTTGGCTCTACAAGACTGAATTTCCCTTCTACAGATGTTTTATTCCTTGGTAACTCCCTTACCCCCCCACCCCTGCCCTGTACCACCAGCAGCCCCTCGCTGTACCAGCTGCCACTCCAGCAGGGCCTGAATGAGAGAACGCACCAGCTTTCCTTTTGTTTATTGCGTTACAGTGAAGCAGAATGGCCTGTGGTTATTTGCAGTTATCAGCTGATGATTTCACCATGTCTAAGGAAAAGCAATTAAACAGTTCTGGACTTGGTCACTGCTGGAGTGTCAGGAGAAGCTGTGCAGGAGCTTGGTGCTGTTTGCCCTCCCCTGGGTGCATGGCCAGAGCAATCTGGGAGTCGCAGTGCAAAATCCAGGTGCTGGAGACATTCCCCCCTGCCCAGGGGAATCCAGTGGTGACCACGTTCAGTATCAGAATCCTCTGTGCTGGAAGCTCCTCCAAGGCACCTCTCCCTGTGCTGGGGGACTGTTGCCTTGTCCAGGATGGGGCTTTCCCTGTGTCTTCTTCAGATATTACTCTTCCCCATGCCCAGAGCATCCCCCACTTCTCCCACCACAGTAGTTCAAAACCAAACCAACTCCTTTGTCTCTTAAATAATGACCTCTGCAAAGTCCATGACCCAGGAGATGCTCGAAAGCAGTTTCCCTCTCAAAATTGATGAGGATGGCAAGGTCGAGGCTGCTGGTTCTTCTCTGGGCTGATGCTGCTGAAAGGAGCAAGTCTTCCAGAAACAGCAAGCTTTATATCTTGGTCTTCAAATGTGGTTTTCAGAGCCCATCCCCAGAGAACCCACCTGGAGCAGTGCAGCTGCGAAACTCATCAGGATGCTGGCTTTGATGCATCTGTGGTTTTCATTTAACCGTGGAAACTCAATCTTCTAAGGAAATTATTGACATTAACATCTATGTTACATAAGCCTTTTTTTTTTTAATTATTTTTTTACTTTTTCATTCTCCAACTGTGGCTGGAGGCCCAAAAGCAGCAAATCAGTGCTGGTGAGAAGTCTGAAGAGCCTGAAGGTCACCTGCCCTCACCAACCCGCTTCTTTGTAGATGTTGTTCAGGTGAGTGCAGATCTCGTTGGTCACCTTCTCAAAGGAGGCTTTGCAGTCTCCACCAAATTTCTCCTCCATCAGTTGCAAGATAATGTCGCAGATGATCTAAATAGGGAGAAGGGAAGAAATGGTATGAACTTTCCTCCATATTAGGGAAATACATATTTTGAGATTTTTAGAGAACACAGAAGGAAAACAGAATTCAGTATATAGCAGGCAGAATTAGAAAATAAGTTATGGAAAATTAGGTGCATTATAGAAGCCATCCCAAATTGCAGTCACTTCTGTGTTTTTTATGTACCCTGTTTCTATGTAATTTTGGCTGCACCCATACGCACAGCCACTTAAAGACTGCTTTACAAGACTGGTTCACTCAGTCCCTCCAATACAATCCTGGTGGTAGAACTGCCCAAGTGTTGAGGAGCACCGTGCTGAATACCTGTGTAATAGGTGACTTGTGGGATCATCTATCCTGCTCACTCACTGCCTGGTGCTCTGCAACAAGGAGCATTTACGTGTCTTGATAGTTTCCAGACAGGTGGTATCATGTGAAGCAGTAATTTCTGTGTTGCATTTCTTGTTTTGTATACATCTTTATCCTCAGTAAGGGTTCTTTCTAGGCAGAAATCCTCATTTAGTCTCTCGTTCAATTGAAGTTGGATCTGCTACTTTGGAAACCACCCTCTTTGTGCCTGAGTGACCTCTGATGGAAGGTGCCTCTTTCTGCACTTTCTGCATTGTAGGGCAGATAACACAGAGACATACGTACTCTGGTAGTGACTTCAGGTGGACTTGGGTGAACCATTTGGTCCTGCATGTATAATTCGTGTTGCTTCAGTGATGGCAGTGCCCTTGTTGTTGTTGATCAGCAGTCATAAAATCATAGAATGGCTTGGGTTGGAAGCAACTTCAAAGATCAAGAAGTTCTAAGCCCCTTGCCACAGGCAGGGCCACCAACCTCTAGACCTGGTACTAAAACCAGGCTGCCCAGGGCCCCATCCAACCTGGTCTTGAGCACCTCCAGGGACAGAGCATCTACAGCCTCTCTGGGCAGCCTGCGCCAGCACCTCACTGCTGTCTCTGTGAAGTACTTCCCTCTGACAGTTCCTGTTACTAGAGAAAAATAGACATTATGGACTGAATTTCAGTGTAAGCTGCTTTTTTATGTCTTGCTATTAAATGACAAGTGTGTGGGAATCCTGTTGTGCTGAGTAAACCTGCTACAACTCATGGGCAGCTCTGTAGCTCCCAGCAGAGCTGACCTGCCTGCACAGCACCTGCTGCGTGGCCTTCTTACCTACAGCTACATGCCTGCAATCTTCCACCATCTTCCTCCACCAGTGCTCTGAACTGTATGTACATTTACACATACAAAGCCTGTTCTCCCCACTTCTTCCCCTCCAAAGGAAAGATGCCATCCCATCTCAACTACATTCCCTGAGGAGATGACTCATAGCTCACCCTGAAATTTTTGGGGTCAATCTTGAGCTGGGTGGCATGTTTCTGGCCGAGCGGGTTCAGTATCCCAAGAAAAGCCTCAACGTTGTCCAGATGTTGCACCAGGTCATTGATGGCAGTGAAAACCCTCTTGCCATGGCCTCTGATCTGATCCGACTGTTTCATCTCTTCGGCGCTGTCCATGCCTTTGAAGTGTGTGAAATAGGACTTGGTGTCCGGGTGCTCGGTAAACATCCTGTTGAGAAAAGACATTTGGCCTAACTTTCAGACTGAGGCATCAATGCAGATGTGAATTCACATTCCAGGCCTTGTCTTATGTATTTACTGGCCTTTTCCCTTTTTTTTTTTTTTTTTTTTTTTCAGAACAGCCCTGTCTTTCCCATGCATTTCTGTTCCCTTCCCATCCATGCATGATTCCTGTACTCACAGCAGCCTGACTCCCTCCTTGTGCCTCCCCAGGGTACCTTCCTCCTCTCCCAGTTTTAAAACCTACTGGCCCTGCTGCTAGTCTCTTATCTGCTGGGAGGTTTACTCACAGCAATTTGGCCAACTTTATTTTGGCTCCCGTCAGTTTCACTTTTTCATAAGGATGTGTAACTGATACTTTACATCCTAATACCAGGAAGAACATGGGAACTGTGTTATCTGCTTGAGAAAGCAGCTGAAGCTGTGCTATCTGCTCAAGGAAGTCAGCCTCCCCTGCCCTGCATTTATTCTGCTGTTTTGGAAGTGAACATCTCAGAGTCAGGTGGCAGTGCAACCTACAGGGACATGGGAGCACATTTGGGCAGGGTAAATACAACAGTGCACAGTCATAAGGATGTTCTGGACAGCAGATAGTTCTGCTTTTGTCTCAGTATCTATTTTCAGGGAGAAACCCAACTGTCACTTTTCTTAGTTAATCATTTCCCGGAATCTGTCCCTGAGAATTTTTCTGCCAGTAGTAGATTATTGTTTGAGTTCTCTGCAATGCTTATTTTGTTTATTCTAAGGCAACATAGTTCAGTGCCACTCATAAAGGAATTGACTTTTTTTACAGTATGTCAACTAGAGTTATCTTGATCAAACCATTTAGAAATCAGTTTACTTTGTTGAGTAATCTAGGCGTCCACCTGAAACAGCAATAGTAAATTCCCTGTTGCATTTCATGGAATCAAAGGATGGTTGAGGTGATTGTGCATCCCTGGGTCCATCTGCTCCAACTGCTGCTCATCGGGGCGCCCAGAGCAGAGTGCCCAGGGCCGTGTCCAAGAGGCTCTTGGAGATCTCCAAGGAGGAAACCCTACAAATTCTGAGCAGCCCACGCCAGTGCTCCCATCACCAGCATGACACAGAAGTGCCTGATGGTCAGAAGGAACGTCTGTGCTCCCATCTGTGTCCACTACCTTTGTCCTGGCACCAGGCACCACTCTCCCTTCAGGTACTTGTACACACTGATAAGGTCTCCCCTGAGCCCTCTCCAGGCTGAACAGCCCCAGCTCTTTCAGCCTGTCCTTGAGGAAGCAATGCTCCAGCCCCTTCATCATCCTCATGGTCCTTTGCTAGATTCTCTCCAGTAGCTCCATCTCTCCTGTACTGGAGTGCCCAGAAATCCTGCAAAGGCAGAGCTGGGCCTATAGGGAAACTAGAGCAAAACCTTCTACAGCAATGACCCTGGGCTGCCGAATGACTGGATGCCACCAGCATTTCTAGTTGCGTTTCTGAGGCTAACTGTCCTCAGGTTGCATTGACCGCAGTGGGAAGGAGCAGTGTTGAGCACATCTGTTGAGGCTTAGCTGGGTACAAGATGTGACATACGAGGCAATGGTAGAAGTGTGCTAATAGGGCTATTTGGCGTGACCAGTGTGTATGGAGGTAATCTGAGCCCCTGTTGAGTGAGGGGTATGTGAAAGGTGAATAGGAGAAATGTGTTTATTATGGAAGAGGAGAAGAAAACAAGGTGAAGACTAAAGGAAGAAAGACCACAGGAGAGTACAGTACAATGAAACAGGTGAGCTCTGACTGGAAAGGCTGAAAAAGAATCAAAAGAGAACTATTGAGAGCATAGAACTGAAAAAAATAATCATTAAAGTCATTCAGAGGTAAAGGAAAATAGGGAAATAGGGTCCATGTTATTTCCTGTTCTATTTTATACCATGCATTGTTTTATTTATCATAAATACATCACTCTTTATTGGGGGTTGGGAGGGAGGAGTGAAGAAATTGTTCCAGTCTCTCCTTCCTTTACCAGACCCCTTCTCCCTCCCTCTTACTTCTCTTTGTATGGATCACTCCTCTGCACCGTTTCCTCCTTGAAGTTGCACAATCCACAGCAAACCAAAATGTTCCCTGTGAGGCTGTCAAACACATTGAGATGTGCTTCAAGGTGGCAGCTCCATCCTTCTTGCTAGCCCCTGGGCTAGCAGTTAGATGGGCTCTTTCCTTACCTGATCAGCACTGCTGTCCCGTTGTCTTCAGCATCCACATAGATCTTTTCCCAGGCCCCACGGGCGCTCTGCACCTCCGCTTCAGAGAAGGACATAGTGGAGGAAGGGAGGAGAACACAGAGGCAGTGATGGGATGGTTCTGATCCAGGTCTCTCTTCAGGGCTCTCTAAATACTGCCTGGGGGATTTAAGAGATCATGAATGGACTGTTTGTCTCTGTTCCCATCGGTCACATTTCTGTCGGCTTTAGGGCTGCCTAATCGCCTTTAATCAGGAAAGAAATTAACCACATGAGGAGGGAGGCATAGCACTCCTGCCTGGAGTCTGAGGCCGGAGCAAAGATCTTGATGTCCAGGAGAGAAGGGAAAATAGGGGATTTTCAGTGGGGAAGAAAAAGATTGACTCTCTTCCCTTCCTACCCCCTACCTAATCCAGTGCTTGGCCTCTTTCTTCGATTTTCCTGCTTTGTCCTCAAGAATGTTGCTGTGCTCAGGGCACCCTGGTGCCCTGCCGTCCCAGCTTCCAGCCCTTCTGGCTCCTGCTCTCTAAAGATGCCCTTTCCAGCTCTGGCAACTCACTCCAGTCCTACTCTCGTGTCATGGCCACTTCTTTCCTCACAGCCCTCTGCTCTGCTGTGGTTCACACTTTGGCCTTGGGACCAGGCAGATGGCAGACACCATTAAGGCTGAATGATATACTTTGATGGTGATGACAAAGCACCCATGGACAGCCAGGCTGTGGTACCTTGAAGGGCTGTGGCATTCTAAGGCAGCAGATGAACCAGTACAGGATGCTGGGCTTGCAGCAGGACCTTTCCACCCTAACTCTCCTGCTTTGTAGCTATGATCCTGTTCTGTCCCTGAGGCCTACAGGCTTGAAAGAGAGGAAGAGGTGAGGGGCAGGAGAACGGCTGACACACATGGGCTCATTATCATGACTGTCACTGGGAGAAGGAAGCCAAAAAACCTCGGATTATCCACATGGTGCCCAGGCTTAACCTCTGGCAGGAATGTGCTGGTTAAGCTCAGAGCACGCACACAAAATAGGGCTTAGGGGCCTAAGGAACCACCGCTGCTGGATGCGTGTGGAGACAAAGCCTCATTGTTTGGGATGGTGTGGGGGAGGGAAAGAGTGGGCATAGGGAGCAAGGCCAGCCCGGTGCCTGGGGCGGATGGAAAGGGATGGCTGCTACCTTACAGAGACCTCCTGAAGGCATGTAATAGAACTATCAAAGAATCATTGAGTTGGAAGGAGCCTACAAAAGCCGTCTGGTGCAACTCCCCTGCAATGAGCAGGGCCACCCACAGAGTGATAGGGTGCTCAGAGCCCCTCTAGCCTGACCTCCAGGGACAGGGCATCCCCCATCTGACTGTGCAACCTGCTCCAGTGCCTCACTGCCCCATCGCAGCTCTGCTGAGGGAGGAATTTGAAACGCTGAGTGAATGTAGAAGCGCTTAGAGCAGGGACAAGATAGCGTAGGTAGCCTATTTCTGGACTCTTTCATCTCATACCCTGTGTTTTCCTTTTCTCTTTCCTGGTAGAGGTGAGAGCAATGCACTGAGGTCCTTACAAATTCACAGCTGTGTGGCGGTGGGGCAGAAGGCACGGGTTGCTCCAGCTCCACCTCATCACCCCATCTATGTCAGCGTGCCCTGCTACTGCGTGCTGGGCCACCACATCTGCTCCTCGAGAAACTCAGGTATTACTTGCTTCCAAGGGCTTCACTGGAGCCAAGCACCCTCTTGCCAATGGTTTTTGGGCTGGTTCGGCCTGGTTCCGTGACTAGTGGGGTGGGGGGACCCATAGACCAAGGTCCAGGAAAGGGAAAAAGGGAGAAAGGGGAAAAAGGGTAGGGAGATGGGCCTAAAAACAAAACAGAGGCAGTGATTTGAAAATAAACGAATTTACTAAGGCATCAGAATGTAAGACAACACACTATAATATAACAGATTAGAATTGAAGCTAATAAAGCAATTAAATTGAAGTGTCTGAAATCCAAAGGCCTTACTCTAATGCTGAAGTGAGATGTCTAGTCGGGCCGAGCAGAAGAGAATAAGGGAAGGTCGAATGATCTGAATGGTTTTTATCTCTCCCTCTGAGTGGAAACAGTAACAGAACAGTGAACTGTCCTCTGTCAGATGTAGCTCTTCCCTTCTGGGACAGGTACACGGAATCGGAGCATTAACTCTTTATAACTCCCAGTACACTACATGATGTTATGATGTGGAATACTGATAACCAAAAATCATAAAATTATGACATTCCACCCCTTATTCTACATCATGCTTAATATATACAAACAAAAAATAGCCAACAAGCATTAAACACATGCACATAAACACACGCACACATATATATACACGTGGAATTACTGACTGCACTCCCTCAGTATCAAATTCCCTTATGGTACACACTGAACATCCCCATTTTTCTGCATCACCTGCCAAACGGACTCAGGCTCCTGAGCAAAAACAGTCCCACAGAGAGGTTTGCCCTTTCCAGAAACTGGAAAGACCCAAGCCATTTTCCCCAGCATGCTCTTTACATGTCACAGGGACTTTATCTCCCTCTACAGAACGTAGAGAGCTGAACTGGGGGAGGACCATCACAATTGATAGATCCTCGGGTATTGACAAACCAGATGTTTCCCAACGCTCCACCAAATGTTTCCCACCCACTGCTTTCATCGTAGTTTTTAACAATCCATTGTATCGCTCAATTTTACCAGAAACTGGTGCACGATAGGGAATGTGATAAATCCACTCAATGCCATGATCTTTGGCCCGAGTATTTACAAGGGAATTTCTGAAATGAGTCCCATTATTTGATTCCATTCTTTCTGGAGTGCCACGTTTCCACAGGACTTGTTTCTATTGTTTCTATTGACACCTATGATGGTGTTTTGGGTGGTAGCATGCGGTACTACACGTTTCAAGCCACCCAGTGGTAGCTTCCACCATGGTAAGCACATAACGCTTATCATTGCGAGATCATGGCAAGGTGATATAATCAACCTGCCACACCTCCCATATTTATACTTTTGCCATCACCCTTCCCCCTAGAGAGGTTTCATTCTCTTGGCTTGTTTAACTGTGGTACATATGTCACAGTCACGAACAACCTGTGCAATAGTGTCCATAGTTAAGCCCATCCCTTGGTCTCTAACCCACTTATATGTTGCATCTCTTCCTTCATGGCCCAAGGTCTCATGGGCCCACCAAGCTAGAAATAATCCACCTTTGTGTTGCCAGTCCAACTTTATTTGAGACGCCTCAATTCTGGCAGCTCGATCTACCTGGTGGTTAATTTGTTGTTCTTCAGTAGCCCGACTCTTGGGCATGCAAACATCTACATGATGCACCTTTTCTGCCATACTCTTTATTTGGGAAGCAGTGTCTTTCCACACTTCAGCAGTCAAAATAGGTTTATTCCTTCCTTGCCAGTTGTTTTGTTCCCACTGCTGTAACCACCCCTGTAAGGCATTTGCCACCATCCGTGAGTCAGTATAAATATGAAGCATTGGCCACCTCTCCCACTGAGCTACATCTAAGGCCAGTTGGACAGCCTTTACCTCTGCAAATTGGCTTGATTCTCCTTTTCCTTCAGTGGCCTCTGCAACTTGTTGTGTGGGGCTCCACACAGTAGCTTTCCATCTGCAATGCTTCCTCACAGTATGACATGATCCTTTTGTGAACAGGGCAGATTTCTTTTCATTTTCTGATAATTCATTGTATGGTGGGGCCTCCTTGGCATGTGGTATCTCTTCTGATGATATTTCAAACTTTTCACCTTCAGGCCAGTCCGTGATCGCTTCTAAGATTCCTGGAGAGTGTCCAAAACCAAAGGGCTTACTCTAATGCTGAAGGCAAGATGGCTAGGGAGCACACACCACAGAGATAAGCAGTAAAAGAAGGCAATCTTATGACTTGCGAGCAGTTCTATCATTCTCTCTAAACAGACAACAGAAACAGAACAGTGAAAGTCTTCTGGGGTATGTAGTTCTTCTCTTCTGAGAACCAAGTACCCAGAAAAATTGACAGTAATTTTTTAACTCCCAGTCTACTACATGATGTTATGATCATATTATAATCATGTTACGATTATAATCAGAATAGGGGTTGCCAGAGGGACAGGGAGGTGATTGTTCCTCTCTACTCCGCCCTTGTAAGGCCCCATTTGGAGCACAGAGTCCAGGTCTGGGGCCCCCAGTACAGGAAAGATGTGAAATTGTTGGAGACGGTCCAGAGGAGGCCACAAAGATGATGAGAGGGATGGAGCACCTCCACTACAAAGACAGGCTAAGGGAGATGAGCTTGCTCAGCCTAGAGAAAAGAAGGCTGCATGGAGACCTCGTTGCAGCCTTCCAGTGTTCAGAAGGGGATTATAAACAGGAGAGGAATCAACTTTTTACAAGGGTAGACAGTGATAGGACAAGGATAAATGGTTTTAAGTTTAAGGAGAGAAGATTTAGATTGGATGTCAGGGGGAAGTTCTTTACAGACAGCGTGATGAGCTGCTGGAACAGGCTGCCCAGAGAAGTTCTGTCCCTGAAGGCGTTCAAGGACAGGTTGGATGGGGCCCTGGGCAACCTGATCTAGTGCCAGATCTGGAGGTTGGTGGCCCTGCCTATGGCAGGAGGCTTGGAACTTGATGACCCTTGGAGTCCTTTCCAACTCAAGACATTCTATGGTGGTTCTATGATGATAATTATACGATGTGGCTGAAGGCTAAAAGAAACAGATATGGGCTGGTACTTGTAGGAGTTAGGCACCAGTCGAGAAGCATTGTATCACGTACTGACAAGGTGCAGGTGATTCTACTGGTAGTACAGCAAAATGCAAGGAACCAGGGAATCAGAATTGCAAACTGTTTTACTTGTGTGAGAAGAAGGACAGATGAAGGACTTCATGGTCCATTTGCCTTTCCATTGTGGCAGCTGGCACCTCCCACTTAAGCCGTGCTGCTCTAAGACTCAAGTATTTACACTGATAAAAAGTCTATTGTAATTGTCCGACTTTGTTTGGAAGTAATGTCAGTAGCAGTGGCTTTAAATTCAGTAAGCCCAAACTTAATACGCAGAACCAGTTTGCGTTTCCTCCCTAACTTTGTGTCTGGCATTGGTACTGTGCATGAACCAAGCAGTTCCAGCCCTTCCTCATCTACGTACTGTGCATCCTGCTTTTCTGTGGAATAAAAAGCAAACAATGCACTTGTCTGATCTGGTTCTATTGGTGTGAAAATATATTGGGCAGCTTCATTTATACTCACTGACTCCCCAGTTCCCACCAATTTCCAGAAGAGATCTTTGCAATAGACACGGCCATCCGCTTTTGAGACTCTTCGTTTACGAATGTCATGGATAGCTGCATCAAAGTCCCTACTTACACATAGGCCATATGTCCGAGCACTGATTCTTGAAGTAATAATTTTTGGATTGATTCCAAATAAAACAGCCCCTTTTGCAATGGCAATCTGGGCCTCTAGTGGACAAAAGATATGATATTTCTTACTAAAAGCCTGCCTGACCTCATGTCTCAGCATGACGCTGGATGCGAAGCCTCCCACAAGCAAAATGTACTGGACCTTGGCCATCTCAGGCTTGGCAAGGATTTCTCTCAAAGCAGCAATAATTTTTTGGATGCTATATTCAAAAAAGCTTTTCATTTTCTCGTATGTAATCATGATCATCCCATCACACCACACAGCCCCTGTTGTTTTTTCGAAGAAGCGGGAGATGCCCTTCTTTCTTTCTGCAAGTTTGGTCAAATTGTAATAGCAATGCAAGTAGACTGCCTCCCCGTCAGCAGAGCATTTCTGGAAGCTGAAGTCGTACATCATCCGTTGCCATTCGATAGGGTAGCTCTTCACGTATTCATCCCATACGCCGTCATCAAACACCTCCCTGAGGAATATACTGAAGTTTTCATCCACTCTGTTGCCTCCCCATCCACCTCCAGACGCCTTGTGTAACTCTTTCAGGCAACGGTTTTCTTGGATCTCGTGTACTGTGATGTCCACTGTGCCACCTACACAAACGCATGCACACACATGAATGAAGTCAGATCTTCTCTCTAAATTACAGAAGATCCAGCCTTTAGAAGACCCATCCTCTCCTCCCGTTTTTCTGCTCCTCCACAAGACTTCATTAAGTGAGAAATAAAAATAAAAATTCCCGTGACAAGCATGGAAGTGGAGCCCACACTCTGGGACTGCACTGTAGTCCCCCTGCGTTCAGCACTGCAAAGCATCCATGCTCTGCACCCAGCAAATTTGTACTCATTGAGAAGGGAGAACATTATTACCTCCACAGTCAACGACAACATACTGGATCCCAGGGGAGTCTTCAAACTTTCTCTTGTCACTGCTCTCTGCAAGAAACCCTTCCTGTGGAAGCTGTTTACACCAGAGTGATGCAGCCTCTGATTCCAGGGCAATAATCAGCTTCTCAGAAATCATGTCAGAGATAAGTCCTGCCTGAAATCACAAGAGAAGTATCAATTCAGGAAAGGTGGCAAGATCACTGCTGCACGGACACCATCTGCTAGTGAAACTGCTCTCACCCACCCTGAGGTAATGGTTCTTGCACTTCTGATTTCTGTGGGCTCAGTTCTGCACAGCCACAGGGGAAAGGGCAAAGCTGTTGTTACTGCCAGCTTGGGACATTTTCCTACATACACATCATGGGAGAGTTACCTTTCTGATACACAAAAACTCAAAATACAGACTGTCTAAGTAATGAGAAACTCCTCTTCCTTAATGATTAAAGAAATCTCAGAAGAGAACGTGAGAAGTGGGTTAACTACTGCTTTTACCTCTTTTGCTGCCAGCCGCATGAACTGCCTGGCAGCTGTGCTCCATATGGCTGGGACAGTAATAACCCAAGTGATTTCCTCAAGGTCACAAACGGTATTGGAAGAGGCTTCCTGGATAGTGTTCAGGGCATGTTGCTCCATGTAGCGCAGGCTTTCAGCGAAGACCAACAGGGCAGGAAGGGTCTTTCCATTGCTTGCTTCCAGCCTCATGTCAGAAGTGACTTTCTACAATTGAGAGAAAACAGTTAAAATGTCGCTGCATATGGCAGCCTTGGGAACTGTCCTGTCCCCTGTACATGAACAATGCACAGAGTGTGTTACAGAACAACGTCCCGTCTCCATATCTCAGTAGATTCCCCAAAATGACTTCACTATGTGGCTAACAGAAATCTAACTGACACAGGTCTGCCATCAAACTGTGTAACATTTCAATAGGCAAAATACCAGGTTGTATAAAGACCCTGTAGGCCAACCTGAACAGTGGTGGGGAGAATTATTCTTTCTGTGTGACACGATACCACATTTCCCAAGCATGTGCATAGAGCCTTCAGGTTGCTCATGTCTTTCTGTGTGTGCAGTTAAAAAAGTATACACAGGAAAAATGTGCATACAAATATCCATCTGTTCTCATTCACTTTCTCTACAATATAATAGCTTGGTTTTTGGCCCTGTGTGTCTGCATGGGTGTACCCGAATCCTGAGGCAGATGGCTGCTCTAAACTCCCTCCATCAGTTCCTGGTTGCAGGTTCTGTCTAGAAGAAGTGGAAATATTTGCCTGCATCCAAAGACATTTTGGGAGCCAGCTTTCACATGTGTTTCTCTGTTCCGCTTCGGCAGTGATCAAAGTTGGCCCTACAGCACAAGGATCATAAACGAGATCACCAAATCCATCAACCTGGGATCTTTTACAGCCATACGTAGGCAGGTGAGGAGGCTGCCCAGCTAAAATAAGAAAGAACTGTGAGGTGGAATCTGTTCCGGAGGTGCAGCCACTGCGGAGAAAGGGAATCTCTGTTTATTTTTGCTTGTAAACTCATTTCCTGTCACTGTTCCTGACTTGGTTAACAGAATAGGATATGTCCTCCATGGACGCTTTTTGTGGAGATTCAGAAATAGCTAACTGGGTTAGGTGTCTGGAAAGTGTTGTTTCCCTTTCTTGTTGTTGGGTTGTTCATTTTTTGGGGGGGAGGGGGACTGGGGGTGAGGGTAGGGGTGAACTAAAATCTCTCTGAAGCCCTTCTGCCCTAAACGTGGCTAGGAGCCCATCACTCCACAGGTAACAACACTGCAGCAGACCACATCATTCACACCTTTCCTGCAGGGGGAAGTCTTCACAGATGCCTCCCATCTCCTTCCAAATCCAGTCAGAGCTCATTGCTTAGCACTGGGAAATTCAGAGAGCAGATGAGACTTCTATCTGGGGCTCACCCTGTGCTCAGGGTTATTCCACACTAACAAGCACACACAGAAAGACCTCCTGCAAACTCTCACAGTGGAGAAACACCAGTGTAGAGGATATCCACAGTAAAATAAAAAACACAGATCCAAAAAGAACCAGTGAAGGTAGGCAGTGGCCCTTAGAAAGCAAAAACTTCAACAGGCAAAAAGCAGGAAGAGGTGAAAGACCTGTGGGGCCCTGGAGCACGGACAAGGAAGCTCTAGAGTAGCATTATATTATTGTGAAGGTGATGAGACACAGGCACAGGTTGCCCAGCAAGGTTGTGGATGCCCCCCTCCCTGGAAACATTTAAGGCCAGGCTGGATGGGACTTTGAACAGCCTGGTCTAAAGGGAGGTGTCCCTGCCTATAGCAGGGGGGTTGGAACTGGACGGTCTTAAAGCTCCCTTCCAACCCAAACCATTCTGTGATTCTATGTTTGGCTGAACAAATCAACCCAGAAATGCTGTGAACAATTCTGAGCAACCACAGAGCCTTCTGAGAGAAATGACAGCTGGACACCCATATATTGGCTTCAGCATATCCCTTCAAGGGAGGGAGAGAGAGGCCAGCAGAAGTGCGTAACATGGAAGGACCTAGAAGCTGCCAAACTTTGAATCATAGGACACTTCTATTGTTCCCTGCAGAAGACAATGAATATCACACAAATGAGGAGCCCATACTGCCTTTAGCTTGTGAAGAATGTATCTCATTTCTTCTTTCATTTGACAAAGTGCTCTTTGACTTCTCCGATCCTCACCAGACAGATTGCTCAGCTCCCTTCACCACTTCCTTTAGCCCACATCCCTCCAATAAACAAACAGCCTTGACTCCCGTGAGCATTCTACATACCCTGTTGTACAGGCTCATCTTGAAGTTCTGGAAGAAGTACCACTTGTGAGCTTCGCTGGCTGGCAAGCTCTTGTACTTCATCACAGCATCATAGCCAAATTTTGCGAAGTCCTGATTCTCGTTGAACAGGATGCAGGTGGGCGTCTTCAAGGAATTGTGCCCATGCTCCGTTCCCCAGAACACCTGGCGGATTTGGTCTGTGCCTGAAGCAAGGGAAAAACAGTACCCACTGTAGGACGTGCCAAAATCTATAGAAACAACAAAGAGTGAACTGCTGGCCATAGCTGACAGCAGCACAGAGGAGCACAGATCTAGAGTTACAGAGGAATACAACTGGAATGAAAGTGATACTGCTCTGGCAGCAGCAAGAAGCCAGTCCATCCCTGTCCTGATTGGCTGGGGAGAGATAAGAGTGACTGCAATTACAAGAACAACTGCTATTTCCAGTAAAAAGGGGGAGCTGAAGCTCATTGCGAAACCAAGTGCCTGATTCTTGCGGTAGCCTCCTGTACACACAGCAGCTCAGTCCCTTGTGCTGCTGCTCATTCGGACAAACATTTCCTCCTGCTGTAAGTGCATGGATGGATTTACGTGTAACAGCTACAGCCAACATGAGATGCCTGAAGGAGAGTGGACAGATGCTGATGCTAGAGTGGCAACTTCAGAAGACGTCAGGTACGTTGCACTGGGGTTGTCCCTGGGTAAACTTACCATGTTTAACTCTAAGAGACCTGGGGGCTTGCAAAAAAAAGATCTGCAAACACTTCCTGGCCATGAAATATTTCAGTAAGAGCTTGATTTTCTACTTCATGTCGGGTGGAACTTCCCTGTGCAATCACAGGGCCAGTTAGTCCTGCAATAGCATCCAGCTCCAAAGGCTAAGGCAGACATTATACGGATGTGAGAGAAAAAGAAATTGGAAAGAATCTTATGAGCAGCCTAACAGAACTAAGATCTCAGGAGCATCCTGTCCGTGCAGACTGTGTCCATGCTCCCTGTCCTTTGTTGTGAGGGGAAAGATTGATTTAAATGCACATTTTATACTGAACTTTTGAACTCAATGAAAAACAGGTGTCCTCAGTTAAAGTCTGGAGATCGGGTGATCTAGCTGATTCCAGTAAACCGAAATCCATTTCAGCAAGAGAGGAATGGGGAAGTCATGGGAGAGAGGGGCACAACAGCTCCTTGCAGCAGTCATGCAGACATGGATTTGCAAAAACTGGTGCATAGGCTCTCCCTGATGCTGTCTTGCTGTGGGAGGGAGCTTGCTGTGTACTCTACCTGTACCTGAGCTGCAGGAGCACCTGAGCTTGAAACTGTTAACTACAGTTAGCTGATGTTTGGGATTTTCATTACAAAACAGAGCACAGAAAAAGTTAGAAACTGCCAAAACTGAACTGCATCCAGAGGTGTGCTGAACCATCGTGTGCCCTGGAGCCTGTACCCTGGCTCTGATCTATTCACCAGCATGGGTGATGCCATGGAGTACCTGCTCGTGGGGCTGACTGCCTTTTAGAAGGTGCATCTTCAGAGTATGTCATCTTTTTTATTCTTCATTTTCAGAATTCCCTCTTTTTTTTTTTTTTTTTTTTTTTTTTTTTTTTTTTTTTTTTTCAGAAGAGAAACATTTAATATCCCACAGCAAATATCAATCTGTGGAAGCAACACTTCAGAGAGGGAGACGTTAAAACCTGATCTGGAGCAGCTGGGAAAAGAATTTAGGTGAGTCTGGTGACCAGAAATTATCTTTTAAATACTCATTCTTCTGCTCTGAAATGATGGACTCCTGCAGTTTCACCACTGTCCTTTGTGCTCCCAACCTTTATGGCAAGGGCTGTTAGAACAGTAGGTACCTCTGTGGCTGCAAAGGAAACTCAAGGGCTCTTTCCAGAGACAAAAGCAGATTATTTTTGACTGTCGCCTTCCCTGAGACTACCTAACTTGCTGAGGCTGGCAACACTGCCAATAAAAATACAACCCAGCTCATGTCTGGCCTCGTGCAGCCCTAGGACGGCCCTGCTGTGGTGCGTGTGGGCCAGAGCAGACACGTGATTAACCCTGCAAGCAAACAGGCAAGCAAGAAAACTGAGCAAGCAACAAACAAGCAAACAAGAAAAAACTGTGCTGAGTGGCAGCACGGTCTTAGTCACAAGTTGCAGATAAGGGGTGTAGAGAAGGCAGAGTTGCAGATGGCATTGCTACTCCAGATGTGTTTTCAGCCATGTAACAGGGCTTGATCCATGTTGCAAAGTTGTGCTGACTGCATTGTGTTTTACCATTTCATTCTTCCTCGATGGACTGATATGCGGTGCGAACAGGTCTTTCAGGGATTATTTTGAGACTCAACTACAATTTCTCTGGAAGTCCTGCAGATACTGTGATTATATGTATTAAGAATTTATACGAAGAGAAAATCATAATGTTGTTGTGACTTTTACTATTCTATTATATTCTATTATATTCTAACTTTGGTTGTCAGAGCTCTGTTCTCCGAGGCACATCGAACTTTCTTCTATTTGACTCTATTTGCATGGCCAGGCATAAGCTCCAAGGCAACTTTGTCTTGGAGTGCAGAGTACGTTGCCATGACACGTAAAAGGAAATCATCATGTTGTAACATAAGCTTTAGATTTCATATAATTACCCTGCTGAATAGGTAATGTCTGCATTAAGAAGATCCCCAAAGGTAAAGGCATGCACCCCAAAGGATCGGGAGGTGGTGAAGGCAATGCTGAAAACACTTTGAGTAGATATGCAGAGTCAGACAGGGGAATTTTGGGTGAAAGTTGCCCTCGTGGGCTAAGAACACACTGATGGAAGACATTGGTGCTGGAATGGTGGAAAGAAAGAGGGATGCTGTTATTCAGGAAGAAAAAAAAAAAAAAAGAAATAGTAAATGAGTGATATTTGGAGTATAAAATGTGAATCCTCAATAACTATGGCCAGGAGGGAATAACTTCAATTGGTGTAGCTGGATTTCCAAACCATTCCTGAACACTGCACAGCTTTGTGCAGAAGAGGCTTTCCTGTTGGATTTCAGTGAGGACAACTTGTGGTATTCTGAAGTTTCTGAATATGGTTGGAGTATCTTTAGGGCCATGAGAGGCTTTCTGATGTGCAGTTCTGTATAGCCTGATAGTGAGGACAGTAAGTAGGAGAAACATTCACATATTCTGAAACCTAGGAGATTTCTTCAGGAGTATCTCAAAGTTTGAGACTTAAGTTGATGTCAGGCAAAGGTTCCCAGACTGTGGACATAGACTCAAATAATGGCCAAGTTTAGTTATTGTCTCTGAGTTAGTTTGCCTAATTGAAGAAAGCTGTAGCAAATCCATGTAGATTCAGATTACACCTCCCGCATTCAGATCCCCATTCTTCATTTGTTCTCAGGTCTGTTTGATTAACATTGATAGCTTCTCACATCTTTAGGTAGATTGCTGCATCTGACCTTTGTATGAGGCAGGAGGCAAGCAGCTCTGACCCTCCCCACAACCAGAAACACGGGAGCTCTCAGGAGTTAACACTGGGTGTTTCTGAATTTGCTCATCCCTGTATTGTCCTTTCACCTAGAGACAGTCATTTTTCTCCAGAAAACATACTGCATTTAGCACCTCCAAATTTAGACTCCAGAAACAATATTTCTGCGTGCAGTGATGAAGGTAATTTAATTGGCAGCTCATAGGCTTGATGGGATAATCCACAAGATCAAAATACTAATATGAGATGGTATAGTTTACTGTGAAGGGAGTGGAAAGAAACATGGGAGAAGAGGTCTCCTTTATATTAGAACTGTATGAGATCTACAACACAAAAATAAATATAACTTCTAAAAAACTCCAGTAAATGATAAATATATATATATATATATATCTCTCACTTTCATGGTGTGAGTGTGCCACAGACCAAATACCTAGGCAAGTCTTCTTGCTGCCACTACCTGACCTGGGTTTATTCTTTCAAAAGAGCATTCTTTGACTCTTTAGACTCATCCACTGGAGGAAAAGTTGATTGAAATTACCCAGACATCTGTAGAGAAACAAATCCAAGAAAACAGAAAAACTCTGACAGGCTTGGGATGTTTGATGATAATGTTTTGAAGTTAAAGAAGAAAACTGTAGAAGTGATGAGATTCCAACCAGAGGAGAATACCCGTGTTTTTCTCAAGCCCATTGCTGTCATCTTGTGTCACCTCTGATCCTTGTAACCCCACTTCCCTTTCTTCTACTCAAGGTAGCTCTGTCCTTGCTCTACGTCCTAGGTGGGAGCTTCTGGGGAGGTTATTTAGCTGGTTATGTGATGCCTTTTGTGGGTGCTCTACACCTCCCCACCTGACAGCATTTTTATTGGAATCTGGGGGATTCAGTGGGGACAAGTCTACCATTATACCAGTATCCTATTACAAAGAAACACATCTCACAAAATGAACTTGTTGCAGTGCATCTTCTGGAAGCATCATCCAAAAAGAGGTTCCAGAGAAAGAAAAATATGAGAAGCTCCAAGAGAGGATCAGAGATCTAGAGGCACGGTAAGGTATTTGTTCACATTCCTGATGCAGTGTGTGCTCTTACACTGAAGAGCCAGATAGCCAGATACTTCTTGTTTCCCCCAGTTCCCCTTACAGACTCTTTTTTTCTTTTTTTTTTTTTTTTTTTCTCTGTTTTATTTGGGAAGACAGCCTAGGCATCCTCTCCCCAGACTTTGGATTCTGATTGCTGGACGATAGTTCGCTTTGTCCTGGAAAGGAGATGTTCCCAGGGTGAATATGTTAATAAAAGGAATCAGCTGACAATGACATAAATACTGCTCTTTGATCATATTCTACTCTGACCATGCAAAAATGAACTGGTAAAGCAGTATTTCCCACACGAAAGCTGCTTGTTCTCTAGTATGGTACAGCTAGGAAATAAGCTGTAGAAAATATGGCATTTATTCTGTAAAATAGTTACATTAATCCACCGTTTTGTCTTATCTTAGCTAACTTTTTTCATACCTTCCTCATTCTAGAAATGAAAAGCTCTTGTCTAAAGCACTGAGCATGCACAAGCAGTCAGAGAACTTGAATGACCCTTTCCGCTTGTCTGCTGTGCTGGATATGTATAGGATGCTTAAGCTACACGAATGGGGAAAATGCTGGAGCAGCTCAGCCCGTTTGTCCTATCCAAAGGCCAGCAACATAATTAAGGTTTGTTCATGTCCACTTTATCAATCCGAATCTTATCAAGTCGATATACTATAGCCAGTATACCAGGCTTTGAGCATTTAGTACTTCTGTATCAGCCAAGATCGGGCACTAACGAGACTACAAGCTCTGTTGTTCCAGTCAAGCAGGGCCTGTGTAATGCTATAGAGAGAAAAGTGACAGAGACTTCTTTCCTCCTGCC